TTTGCTACTAAAATATGCTTGGTTCCCAAACAAGGTGCAAAAGATAACGGGCCAGCTCTCACTTTACTTTCGATGCTGTATAATTGAACTCTCAAATCGGAGGAAAACATATGATTGTGAGCAGATTGTTTACAATTTTCTGGCAGTATTGTAATTTGTTTTGATTTATGAAAATGAAACGTCACTAGAACGGTTTATTGATAGTTAATTTTTTAATCAATGGGACTTTTGGTCCGTTAAATAAATATCCATATAGTCCATAAAATCCAAATAAGATTAGAGAAAGTAAAATGTTGATTAAGCTGGAGACAAAGGGATTTCAACAGAATTTGTTACTCCATGTTCCTGCATAAAAATGAGCAAAAATTCACCAACAATATGATCAAAGGATAATTCGTGAAGATGAAGCTATCATTTTCAATTTTTCAAGTGTTGAATATTCAATAGCCATGCGAAAGGAGCCAACTCATGATCAGGTCTGATCACAGCTTAAATTATCAAAAATTGTCCAATGGCTTTGAGACCAACCAATCAGCTTGATTTTTGAAAATGACCGGATTCTCAGTTCACCTCTAATTATTTGTATGTTGTTATACCATTTATTTGCGACAAAATATTTCAATCAAAAGTAACCAGAATCAGGATCGACCAAATCGGGTGAACTCGCTGGCCGTTTCATGGAAGATACTAAAGGTTTGAATCATTCCTTGAATGTTTACTTACCAATGAATCAACGAAAAAGCATTTCCATTAAAAATTCAAATTGATCACTAGTATTTACCAACTTAAAGTGTGAGTTTGATATAAATTGATTTGTACCGTTCAATCTGGTTAAAGATTTAAACAGGTTTAAATTGTTTCACTTTATTTCATTTCACATTTTTACAGGAATAAGGATCCAACTAATTCCAAACGGATTCACTCCAAATAATGCAGTTGAAATTGTCTAGTTCAAGTCCATGTCTATGTGAGTTGAGTTGTATGTTAATTGCTCAGGTTTCAAATTAAATTAAATTTCTTTTTAAAGAAATGTGATCTGGATATTCCAAAATAGAGTATCGAAAGACTCAAACTTACCTTGATTGTTTTTGACACTAATTAATGAAAAGCAAACTATTTAATGAAATCACCAGGTGCATGGACTATTCAAATTAATTTGAAACACAAATAAACAAAAAACTCATCACTTAAGCAAATATAAAGGCTCCATCTCTCGATGAAGAATCGTACCAAATAAAGTTGTTAATCAAATTGTGGTTTAATAATTACTTTAATTAGGAACTTTAAAGCTTAATAATTAGATGTATAGTCATGAAGAAGAACAGATCAAAAAAGATTACGAGCAAAGAATTACATGATGTGAATTAAGGTGATTTCTTGAGGAAGAGATCATTTTCAAATGAAGATGAGACATCTATTGATGATGTTAAGGTAGAGAGGTTTGTTGATGATTGATTATGAGGTTTTGTTGATGAATTTGATCGCTGAGAATCCTTCTCGTTATTAGCTAATATTGGCCGATTTTTCATTGATTTACGAAACTTTGCTCTCCTATTTTTAAACCAAACTTGGATACGAGACTCAGGTAATTGAATTATCAATGAAAGCTGTTCTCGAGCTGTTAAATCAGGATATTGAACTTTATTGAAAGTAGCTTCCAATACTTGTAATTGATGATGGGAAAAGGCGGTTCGACTTCGCCTCTGTTGTCTATTGGAATCACAACTTTCCGTTAATTTATCAGTTGATAAGCCTATGAAAGTAAATCAATCATTGAAACGTAAATTAAAAAGCAAAATTAAATCAAAAGCTCAAGTCAGATATAAATCACATTATAAAGTGTTAACTGAACAAACAGAAATGGTCAGAAACTTGATGAATCTGTAAACTTATTTATCAAATTGACTGAACAATTATATTTACCTTGATTTGTCGGATGAAAGTCAAAAAAGTTTCGCTCTGGATTCAATATTGGAAGTAATTGTTGATCGTGATGAGATTGATTGTGGAATGGCCAAAAACTGCGATTCCCATAGAGAAATGAACCATTCAAATTGTGTCCAAGTAAATGTTGAAAATTAGTATTGACCAAAGGACCCAGAAGTCGAGGATCACCATAAAGATTCATGATTAACAAGAGAAGGAGAAAAATTGATGAGATAAAATGTTAACACTGGTGTTGAATGGATAAATTGTTGATGATTGATCTGATCGGATTTGGAGGCAAAAAAGGATAACTTTGGCTTTGAAAAATAATCCAAATGCAATGGGAAAAGCAATGAATATGTCATTGAATTGACTGCGCAGTTATCCAAATGATACTGAATACAATATTAATGGTAACAATTGTTAAAGTGGCCTTTTAACCATGAAACAAGTAAATAAGTTTTTGGGTTAAAAGTCATAATAGACGCAAGGTATTATCACAGGGAGTCAACTGGGAGGACTTAAATTTTGGGTTGAAAAAATAAACAAATGCTCACATCTTCAATTTCAACAACTATTTTCAATGTATTTATTTGTTTCTTATTGTTATTTGACAGAGTAAATTTTCACCCTCAAAATAAAGCAAATTAACATTTAATCAACAGGAATGGTGACAACTTTTCACACTGCAAATGAATAGCAAAAAAGCCTCGAGAGTTTTGTTTTAAAACCATCAGATAATCCTATTGGAAAGCTGATTATTTCAGCAAGAAATTTGTTTTCAATTGTTGCTTGAATTTAAATTGGCATAAGCACAAGGTAACCAGTTTTGATTGAAAAATGAATTGATATCCAAATTCCTGGTTGACTTTACTGATTTAGAATAGTTATTTTCATGATTTATCATAAATTCATCTCGTCTTGTTGATTGATCAATATGGAAAGATGTTGATTGTTGTTTTCTCGAATCAATACGAACAATTAGAATTGAGATTCTGGTACTTCTTTGCAAAGCTTTGGTTTTCTGGTTTTTCACCAGTTTAGGTAAATTGGTAAAAACTGGACTCATTTGGCCATTTTGAATGGGATTAATCTTTAATTGTTATTGTAACTTTGTGTCAGTCTATAAATTGGTTAACAATTGCTATTGAGTGAAGTATTGACAACATTTGTATGGGTTGGTGACAAAATGGCTTATAACTTGGGGTGGACATTTAATAATGGTCTTAATACTTATCTACTCTTGAAGCTTGATTATTAAAGTAATTTGATACAAAATGGTTTACTATTTACTATTCATTGGAGATGATATTAAAGGATAAAAAGGGTTAGGAAATAGAATGAAAGTTGGAAAAGGAAAAAGGATAAGATATAAATGATAATTTAGTAGCATTTATATCCACATATTGGTATGTTTACCTTTCAAGAAATTCAAGTGCCTTTTAAGGAGAGCGCAAATTGAACAAGAACCAGCTTTTTTCACTGGTTAATTTGGGCATCCTAAGTGACCAAAGAGACTCTTAGGTCAAAGTGACCCATACAGTCTTGTATTTTGGTTAACTCTCTGGGCAGGTCAATAACAAAGGGACACAAAATCACAGGCAAGATTATCTTTGTTATTTTGTGTGTGCCTTTTGCGCTACACCGGTGGCTTGTCAGGTTTAGTATCAAGAGGATGATTAACAAGAGCTAGGAGGAAAAGTATGAGTGTTTTCAAGATAAATTAATGTTTACACTGAGGTCAGGGTTCGGGTAGATGAGTTGGAGGAAGAGGTGAAGAGGTTAATAAGCATTGAGAAAGGTTTCTGTTGCAAATAAATGTTAACCCATTTGTTAAATATGTGTTTAATTTTTTCAAGCCTTTTCAACTTCCAATGCAAGTTTATTTTTCAGATTAAGTTGATTAACAATTGGCTGGTCAATTGGTTAATTGTCTGAGGTTGAGTTGAATATTTAACATCAATCATGGTCAGTTATTTGATTTTGGACCAAGTGGTTAATGGAGGCAAAAACCAATGTTTGAAATATGGACAAATTGAAACCTCTTTTTCCTGGTTCTGAGCTACCCTTGTAACCAATTGAACCATTTTATATCAACCATTAATTAACACATATTTTGATTGAATCAATGTAAATTTAATGGTAATGAGTGATCAATTTTTGTCAATATCACCGGTTCAATATCATGTATCATTGGGTTCATGATAGTAAGTAAATATGGGATAAAATATCATGTTTGGTATTGCTTAGAGTGACGCTTTGGTAAGATGATTATCTGATTGGTAATTGAGTGAAAGTAAGAATGAATAATAAGATGATGAGAAGAATAATTTAAAAGGGAAGAGACAAAGAAAATAATAACAATTGGATGATTTGTTGAATGAAAATAGGATAAAATGGGATAAAGTTTAAGTATGTGAAAGCATAATAATGTTTAGATGGCTTTTGTTTTCACTTGGATTATGTCTTATTTTTGCCTTCTCTTTGAAAAAACGTCAAACCTTTTTGTCTCTCTATTTAAACATATTCAACAATCAATTGGCTTTTCTTTTCACTCTTACCTAAAGGTTATCATCATTCAAACCAATTGCTATTATATTTAAAAGGAACCCTAAAACGAGTAAGTAAGATAAAGAGATTGAATCATATTGTTATCTAAAAGATTATGCCTTATCTTCATCTTAAAACCTATTGGGCATCCTACTTATTCACATTTACTTGTTTCCTTCTCCCTCTGTTTTAGACCCATTTAGAGTATCATATCTGGATAAACAATTTATCTTCATCATCCCAATCATCACCATCATGTTTGAAGAGGACAATACCAGATGAAAATGAGGAGCAACAACCAAAAGGATAAACAATGGGATCCACAAAAAAAAGGGTAAATATCCATATCAAAATGATTACATACCTTTTTGGTTTTCATTGGTATTTACATTGATATTGGTGAGTTAACGATGCAATGGATTGGATGGATCCTGGTTTTCCATGAGCTGAGATATACACTCGGCGATAAGTAACCTTGCCTGGACAACACCACGTCTTAATCTTTCCGCCGAGTTCCGATTTCCAGCGTAAACTGGACGAATATCTTTACCCATCTCTTCCAGAAGCAACCTTAGTTGTTCAAAATAGTCAACTTGTAGATCAGCAGGTAATTTATTTCTCATCCATGCAAATGAAGATGAATTGGGATACAAAGGTAAATTTGTTGGCAATGCAACTAAAGTCGGTGGACCGCCTTCGAGGAATGTAGGTTGATATAAGCCAAATAGATTGGATCTTGCACCATTGTCTTCACTATTGACTTCACTATCGTTTGCCTCAACGTTTTCACCAATGTTTTCACTGTTCTCCTCACTTTCTCTGGGTTCATTATCTGTTTTGGCGATCTGGCTTGAACTAGGATTATTCATATCCATGAGTGTTTCAGTTCACTGTTAAGGAAGACACCATTTGTCATAGTTTAAAACCAATCATATTTTATAAATTTTTCAAGCAACTTGAATGACTAATGAAAGGGCAAAAACAAGTGTTAACCAATAGTCTTCAAATGATCGTTTGAACATCAAACGGTTTTTTTGTCGTTTAAATTTTTTTTCAGTTAATCTTTGACTGCAATTTTAAATTTTAATCTTGATTATATCCAATAAGAGTTAACAATTAATACAATTCGTTTTGATTTTAATAACTGTTGTCATGTAAAAGAAAGAGATTAAATGCAGTAAATTGTATTACAGCTTGACGCGATCCATTCAGATGAGCAAAATTAAATCCATCTTTTAATTGGATAACCTTTGTTTACTTGCAACTGTAAGTAGATTAACAGTTATTTGCATCAACTATGAGCAAATCTGTCTTCTTTTAACATCTTTATCAACAAAATATTAATAGCTATTAATGAGTTTAAAGGCTCAGAATATCAGCTCAAAGGAATGAATAAAAATTAACTCGATAAGAAAATAATTCCAATTCAAATTGATCAGAAATCTTGCTTTTTAATGTGATCAACCAAATGACCAAATGATGTTTGGTCATTCAATTTTACCAAATCAACTCATATAAAAGTAATCACATAATCATAAATCAATGTATTAGGAGGTAATTGGATTTGCTCTGAAAACAGATCAGCAAAGAGAGGATCATTCCAAAAATGAGTGAAAATGATATTTAAAAGTATATTTTTTATTTCAATTGACAGGGTCAAAATTTTGGTATTTTTACATTAAAATAATATAGTTGATATAAAATAGAGTTTAGGTGATAAAATATGAGTAAAAAATAAGATGCTATTATAAAATAATCTTTTCCTTTTTTTGTGATAAATCATCTTAAAAATTACCGTTAACAGTAATAGTTGAATTATAACGCAAGTCATTTGATTAACTTCAAGTATAAGTGAAAAGGTTTGTTTACAAAATTGCGAATTTAGCTTGTAATGACCAAAAATTAGATTGCTTAGTAAATGGTTAATTGTGCTCATTGATTGAGCATCACTCTTGTATCACAGATTTCAAGGCAATTATGTGAAAATGTTTTTTTTTGTTGACAATCAATTTGCCATCATTTTGTCTCCATTAATTTGATCCATAAAAATATTTCAATCGGAGTCAAAATCGTTTTTGATTATATTTTGGTAATAAGCTTCAATCTTTTCCAAACTCAACATAACACAAGGTTCATCCTTTAACTTCATCTTTTTACAATTTACCGAGTCGCCCTTTTGACCATCGATTCAATCGCTCATAGTGCTTTCAGGTTGTGATTGAGAATCAAATACATCTGATTTGGGTGATCCAGGCCTCTCTTCATCAGATGATCCTGATGAATTTGACTTTTCTCTCGCTAGTATTTCAGAGTTTTCACCCAAAATTGAACAAAGCTCAACTAAACGGCGTTGAATGTTGGGCACACCGTCCAATTGTTCCTCGAGCTTTTGTTTTTCCTCTCGTAAAGTTAATCGAGCATTTGTATCTAATGGTTCCAATCTCCAACCACCGGATCCATCAAATTGTAATAAATGAGTGTGAAATTTCCAGAGAGAAGGTCGATGAGTGATTGTAATCAAATTGATTCCATAATCTTTTGTTAATTGGTACATTTTGCTTTCAACATCGATAGATACAGCACTGGTACATTCATCAAGCAAGGCATATTTAGGTCTGTAAATAAAAATGAGATATTCATTAATTTCATTGTTAATTGTATTTACTCGTTCAAGATTATCACTAAGATATAGCAATGTATTAACAAAACCTAATAATCAATTTACGGAAATAAATAAAGAAAAGTAGAGCAAAGGTTTGTATCAAAAGTTAAAGTACTTGAATAATAACATCGATACATGGTTTAATCTCAGAGCTTAATCCGCCAAGATTTAAGGATTGATCAATATTTTCTTGAAATTTATGCATTGAAAAATTATTGAACATTCATTAAAAAACATGATCAGCAATTTCAAACCGATTGCTCAACAATTCCCTGATTCATGTCGATTTTTGTGATAAAGTAAAACTTTAATCACGTAAGGTGGCAAATTAAGTTGGCAGCTTAAAAAAGACTCATCTAATTAAATGAGAAATGAGTATAATCAGTCAAGTTTAACGATGAAAAGCAGATCAAAAATAATGATTTTAGTTGATGAGCTTTGTTCTGGATCATTAAACTGTTAGAGTTTTGTCAATAATGATTTAACTTGTTGACTTTTCTCAACTCACACAGATCATTGATACAATGATTCAAGACTTTCAACTCATTTTATGAAACCAAAGAAATGATAAAATGGAAAAAGAGAAACATTCAAAGAGTTGTCAACAACTGGTTTTGATAAAACATGAAAAGTGCTACAAAAGAAACTGATTAACAGAATCAAGGATCAATTCGGTCCAATGATCACAGTTGAAACGCTAAATGTTATCAACTTGAATCTGCAGCCTAATAAAAACGTAATATTTAGGGTAACAATTGTTGCCATCAACGATGTTATTAAGTATTCTGATTCTTTTCCACAACCAGAATACCGTTTTGTTCATTAATTTGTTCAACAGGTTTTGTGATGAATGGTTAAAGTACAAGTTGACCTTGTGATATTCCTTCATGTTCATCATGATTTTGAAAAAATGAAAAAAGCTAATTGTAGGTTAGACAACTGAAGACATGTTTTAGACTCGAGGTCCCAAAGAGACCAAGAGGAACCAATACAATGTTTCAGATTAGAGAAAAGTTTACCACCAAGAATTTTCAGATTATCTTGCTCAATGAAAAGGAAAAGGCAAAGGAAAATGAAAATAATGATGATAAATATGTCGATGTGATGGGAATTTCAACAATAACTAATCTAGAAATGGATAAAATGAAATAGCAATGAAGTAACATTGCGAAAGGAACAAATTCCAAAACCAGCAAAATCTTGGAATCTTTTTCCCTGTGTATGAGGAAATGGGTTGAAATGCTTTTATAGCTGTAATCGTTTGACGAACAAGATTGTAAATAACAAATGTTCAGTGTTTACCTATGATAAAATAGACGAGCGACCCCAATCCGTTGTTTCTCTCCGCCAGATAGAGTATCCTTCCAATCAGCTCTTCTATCCCAACTTTCATCTTTCCTTATTAAATAGTCGAGATGAACTTGGCTTAGGATTTTCTCTAAATCCAAATCAGTGATTCCTTTTCGTTTCATATCTTCAATACAATCAGGGTAAATTACTTGATCACGTAAAGTTCCTAATGACATGTAAGGGCGCTGAGGAATATAAAACATCTCTTTGGTTGAAGGTCTATGGAGTTTACCACCAAAGATTGGCCAAAGACCGGCAAGTATACGAAATAGTGAACTTTTACCACATCCATTTGGCCCAGTAATCAATAAATGCATATCTCTAGTCATCTATAAGAGGAAAGGAAACAAATTGAAACAATTCAAGATAATTTAGACCTTATAATGCACTCATAATCAGTTACCTATCAGCTTAACAAAATAGTATTAATAAAAATATATAATACGATTATCAAATGATTGTTGATTGTAAGTAACTGTTTTCAAGTATTAATGTTGATAAGTCAACCATTGCAAAAATAAATATAATCATGAAAGCAATCCAAAGTTTCTTGAGCATTACCTTGAAAGACAATTTGGGAACTATAACATCGTAATTCGGAGTGATAACAGGTACGTCAGTCAACTCGATGTAATCCTCAACTTGAATAACTATCCCTTTTTGAGCAAGAATACCTTCAGCGGTAAAGCAAACATCAGGTGGAAGGGCTCCTCGTTTCTTAGATGACTCGGTTCCAATTTTTTTATATTTTCCTTGGCTAACTTCTTCGAAGACAGTAAACATACGAGCAACTCGTTTGGTGTAACCGGTTAATTCAATGAGCTTGAAATGAAAAGAAAAATAAAGTAAGTTACTTGTAATAGCAGTAATTTAAATTTGATACTTACTTCTTTATAAGAAGACATAAGTCTTTCAGCAGCATCACCGCCAGCAATCAAAATATTTTTAGCAGTAGTCATATATTGTGTACGTTCACTGATATCCTCATGATCATAGCCACCATCGTTTTGCTGAACTCCGTCTTGTTTAGCAAATGAACTTCCTTTGCCGGTCATCACAGGTATTGCTATGTTGACCATTCCAAGGGCACTCCATACGTACTTCATCAGAAATTGTTCAAACATAATGTACCAAAGTCTTTGATTATATATCACATTCATTTGTTGAGCCAATGCTTTATAAGCTCGTTGGACAACATTCAATTCAATCAGATGTCCACCATAGAAAGCAATTTCCTCGGCATTGGTAATAACTCTTGCATGGACCGATCGAAGGAAACCTTTTCTTCGAGCTTCTTCCGAAACTAGGGAACCAAATTTGGGTGAAATCCAGCGTAATATACCGTGAGTTGAAATGATGGCGACAGCGTTCATCAACTGACCATATCCTCCATAGCGACCATAGGATCCCATTTGTTGAGACATTTTAAGCAGAGTGTAAGTGATTAAGAATAGATCAAGTAATGGTTTGGTTACAGACGAGTAAAGATGAGCACAGTGTTGACTAAAACTGATGATATCGTCTGTTAAACAATGGTCAGGATTTTCAAGTCGACCATCAAGATTAGAAACAGCATAGTATGTTTGATTTTTGAAATACAACTCATAACCATAACGAACTAATCGTGTTCGGAAAGCGAGAGCTAACTGGTTTTCCAAAAAACGAATAGAACTATTGATGAATGTCGCTGGTACTGCAATCAGGAGCCATTTTGTCAGCATGGATGCAAAATTGACAACATCTCGACGGACAATGTATTTGACCACTTGACCTTCTAGGTTAGCAACAAAGATTGATAGAAATGTTCTTGACACCAAAGACATTGTGTGCAGTAAAAGTAATGCAACTTCCACAGTTCTCACTCCTGGTACCATTATGCGTATTAATTTAACTAATTGTATAATAAAGGTCACATTGAAACCGGTAAGAGCTTGAAATTGTCTTAAACTTTTTACAATAGTGTCCATGACAATGTCTAAAATTGACCCATCGCGAATACCAAAATTGGTATAATCTTCAGACGGCTTTGACTTTTCATTCTGAGATTTGGTAGACGGTCGATAACTAATTGAATTTAATAAATCTTGATCCTTGACTGTTCCATCATCATTGAAACTATCTAGTCCTGTAATCTTCTCTTGAATGAATTGGGCTTTGGCTTGACATGATGAGACCAATTTAGATACCACTGGTGTACCAAATTTGTAGAAATACAAAGCAAAGATTAATCCCGATGCAACTCGGGTGAATTGGTGGTGTGGTATTGTATGGTTATCACTAAACTCTCTTAATTTAGACAGGACAGCCGACATGATGAATTAAATCTACACTTTTTTATATTTTAAAATGAATAAACCAATTGACAGATGAGTATTGGACAGTGACGTTTGGAAATCTGCAAGTAGATAAGAAAATTAGATTAAAAAATTAATAAGGTTATAATATTTGATATCTGATCAACATTTAAAAGAAAATATTGAAATAATCATGAGTTTAAAATAATTTGATTAAAGTGTAAATTGATGAGAAACGCCTAAAATCAGCTGATTGCATGTGTAACGTCTAGTTTCAAGCTGATGCATGTATGCCGATTTTTGAGTAAAACACATGATAACTGACTATACCAGTTTGTTGTGCATGTTTAGTTGGTTAAATTATAATCACTAAATGAAACGGTTAATAAGTGGTCTTGTTTGGGAACATCAAAATGAAAAGCACAGTTAAGTGAAATAATTTTAAAAATAGCGTTAACCCTGTTAACACTAAAAATACTTACAAGTATGCAATGCAACAGATTAGATTGAGCAGAAAATTTGGTTGAACACATGTGAATAAGGATAACGCCTTGTCCAAGCAATGGAGTTACAAGTGTTACCCAATCAACGGTTTAAAGGCTTTACGGTAATTGCTAGTGAAATAATGAAAACATATTTAAAATTATCCAATTTTGATTGTTAAAAAAGGTTACGTTGAGAAGATTAAAATAGCATTTAGCAAAAGTTGAAAGATGTAAAACACAACAAATCACACTTTATAGATGAAACAAAAGGCAGAAGCGGTGTTGATATAATGATTTTGACGATGACGTTGAGTTGCGAGAAAACATGGAAGACATTAAATAACTGAAATGAAAAAGAATATGATTATTTTGAAAAAGTAAAATACAAAATAGGTACAAAAATAAATAGGAATGAGTTGTTGTCGAGTCTTTGATTTGGATAGATTGTAACTCAGAAAACAGGTTTGGCGAGAAGAGAAGATTGGAGAGATACCTACATTTTTTGTTTTTAAACTGTCTTCTTCTTCTTCTTCTTCCCTCTCTTTCAATCAATTAGCTTTGTTAGCTTGAATTGAACTGTTTCTGCTGACGCAAACACGATTCACTATTCAATACAATATTTGTGTAGACACTATCAAGTCATTCTTGGTTCACTCTGTTGTTTCGTTTGTTGAATAACAACATTTCAATATATGATTGATCCAGATTACTATTCAAACCACCAAATAAACGTCTTCATTTCATTAACAACACAAAACTTGACGCTTGATTGTTCAAATTTAATTGTCATTTAACATGTTTAACAAGAACATTTAAAAGTGTAAAATCAATTTTCACTTGATAACAATAAATAGGATTTATAAGTTTTCGTACACATAGCATATTAAATTGCATAATAGATGGCGGCACAAACTTCAATCCATTTATATGCAGCTTTTAAACAAGAAAAATAAGAAACTTGACAAATAATCAACAATCAACAATTAAATCAATGAAAGCAAGAGTTTGACTTTTTGTTTTCCATTCAATATCAATATTTCCCTTCAATTATTACAGCATAATTGTAAATCTCAAGTAATATTGACCTTTCTAAAGGTGTATTTTGAGTTCATTTTAAGGTTAATCATTGATAAGATAATCAAGAGGTCTACAGATTCTCAAGATCAATGTTATTTACATTGATGAAGATAGTAAAACATGAAAATGAAATTGATTTCTCAGTACTTAAAGAGGACTTAATCATTTCTGTTGAGCGAAAAGAGTATTTCAATTCTAGGACTAAACAAAATCCTCTTACGACTATTTTATCATCAGTCGAGCTCAAGAATGGTAAAGGTCTAAGACTTAATTTTTGATAGATGAACTTCAATGCTCTGAATAGCTGTGAAGCTGGATTGTTCACCCAAAAAAATGTGCAATGTCGTTGCTTGCGTGTAAGCAAAATCATAATTTTAAAGGTTTCCATAGAAGTGAATAACAATGAATTGGCTTTTTAGCGTTCTAACCATTTGTGAAACGAAAGGTTTGACCAAAATTAATATCTGACCCATAAAAGAAACATTTGCTCAAAAAGTTGAAAATTTTTGTTCAACCTGAAGACCTTCTTTGCTTATAAAGTTTGTCACTTTACTTTTATGCGAGCCTTTAAGTAAATTTCCGTAGAAACTTCAGTATTTTTGGAAACCTTGCCACTGAATCCAAGCATTTACCTAATCAATAGCAACGATCAATCAATCAAATCTGTTTCGAAGAAGGCAAAAACTTCAAAATCGAACAAACCGTTCAATATTACACCAAAAAAGTCCACAGAACCCAATCGGCCACTTTATATGTTCTGATGTTCACACTACACAAGATATAACGCAATTTTGAATGTTAGATAAAAGTTTGAGGAAAAAATTGCAAATCAAAAGTAATTTTGGACAAAACATTAACACATATTGTCTTTATAAAATCCATAACATTCAATGCCCAAAGGCCAATCATAACGATCCATCATTAAGAATGATTATTTACAATGTAATTCATTAAAAATAGATGGAAACAATTTTATAAAATGTAATATCCTGATGACATTGTGACAAAACAAGTCAATTAATTCATATTAAATTAATTTTGGATTGAAAAGACCAAGCATTCACAATGAGAGACCAGTTTTTACATTGAAAAGACTTCACTCCAATGTGTGAATTTTTAAGTTTGATTGCTTTTGACAATTAAGAGACAGTTTTAGACAGTAAGTTTGTAAGTTGAGTAGTGAAACCATAAACTTCTTATTAACTTTGTTCTGATGAAAATTACAGTTACAGGTTGGACTGAATTGGTTACCAGAATTTACAATGTCTTATATTGGACTGTTTAGTGTTGATTCATTGAAGTTGCTTTTGTTTTCAATAATTTCATATTTTATTTATGTTCATCTATTGAAGCCTTTATTACATTATATTTATATTGTTATTCATTATCATGGATTCCATTATCAGCCAAAAAATTTCTTCCTGGGACATTGGAAGGAGATTTGGCCAAATTTTCCGTTTCCTATTGACTTGGAAAATTTTTCAAGTAAGTAATCGAGCAATAAGAATCACTTAAAATCATAACAATTTAAATGTTTCATGTTTTCCAGAAAATTTGACCGAATTTACTTACAGAGCTATTGGTTCTAATCCACTTCAATCGTTGCAAATTTTATGGATCTCGATTTTTCCAGTTGTCTTTGCTTTTGGCCATGAAGCGGTAGAGGTAAAGTGAACATCAATCATTTAAATTGGCTTTTTATCCAATAATTTAATCTTACTCGGCTCGAATATTTATGTTCTAATTGTTGGGTCCAAACAGAAGTAATTGTGAATTTTAGTACTTCTGAACCAGATATTGTTATTAGTTACCAGATATTTATTACACAGAAAATAGCAAAGTTGAAAATTCAGGGTAAGTACCGCTATAGCATTATAAGTGATTTGGCTTATAAGCTTTTTTGCCAACGCATTTACTCCCGTTCATTGGGCTCATTATCAGATGAAATAAAATAACTATTGAATGAAACAGTATGAGCTCCAGCATGAGTAACCGAGTTTACATGTGGACTGTTAACTTACCTTTTGTTTTCAATTTATTTATTGCCTAAATTGTTTAGTTAGTCTTGCACAAAAAAAATTTGAAGAAACCGAAAGCTTATACATTTATTGGCATAGGAGATGGACTGTTAGCTTCAGAACCTGAAGTTTGGAAGGTTCGAAGGAAGCTGATTGAACCTTTCTTCACGACTAAAAAGATGAGAGACCATGCTAAACACATGTATGAAGAGGTTAAATCATTTGGTCAACAATTGGATGGTGAAGTTGGTAAACCCGTTGACTTGGTTCATCAAATACACACAAGTACTTTGAACATCATTTTAAAGGCCACTGCAAGTATTCCTTTAGATGATTTAAGCGAAGATAAAGAAAGATATGTCGAACTAGTTAACAAAGTGGAAAAAAATGCTGTTAAACGAGTTGTGAACCCATTTTATCAACTTGATTGGATGTTCAAGTTATTCAAGTTTAGTCAAGTTTATTATAAAACCATTAAAAATTTCGAGAAAGCTACAGATAAAATATTAAGCCGAAGAAAACAACTGTTAAAGAGTTCACCCTCGAATGAAACAGAAAACCAGGATTTCGTTGATTTACTTGAAGGTAAAGTCGAGAGACAAGGACTGTACAATGAACTGGTAACTCTTATTGGAGCTGGACATGAAACAACAGCAGTCGCTTTACGCTGGCTTTTATTCAATCTCGGTAAGGTTTTGATCTGTTATTGAATTGAAACCATTTGCTGTTCAATTTTCTTCAAAGTCTTGAGTATTTTAGTTTAAAATAATTGTTTCTAAATTTATCTTTCAGGCAATCATTTAGATGTACAAGAAAAACTGTATCAAGAGATCAGTGAAGTTTTTCTCGGTGATACACCATTGAATGATACGGATAAAATCAAAGAATGCATTTATCTCGATCAATGCGTAAAAGAGTCACTTCGCTTGAATCCAACCGTAGTGGGTGTTTCGAGAGAACTTGAAGAGGACATAATCCTAAATGATACAAAACTAATCAAAGGTTCAATTTGCGGTGTAGCATCTCTAGCAGTTCATCACGACCCAAATGTTTATCCCAACCCAACAAAATATGATCCTGATAGATGGAGTCCTGAAAATGCCTCTAAAATACCTAAAACAGCTTTTATACCTTTTGGTTATGGACCACGAATCTGTATTGGATACCGATATGCAATGTTAGAGCTCAAGATTTATACAGCTCAAATCATTCGTAAATTTAGTTTAAGATCAACTCGACCGCATGGAAGTGTTTCAATGCTGTATGAAGTTACTTTTCAGCCATCCTTGCCTTTGGAAATAATAATGACACCAAGAAATAACAATCAATCAAATTTGTAAAATTAAAGCTTAAGTTAAAATAAATTTGGATCGTTCAAAAATCTTTCCTTTTCTATCTTAATTTTTAAAGAAATCCATGTAACATTGTAAGGCCATTTAATAATATTTATTAATAATAATCATTTAGCGGACAATATTTTCATTGAATTCACTAAAATTTAGTTAAGCTAATAATTAAATAAGCACTAGGTACAATTGTCCAAGCACCAGTTCCAGTCACTTTCATGTTACCACATTGGAGTCATAATTCCAACTCCACTCAATAATCCTTTAGTTAAAATGCAGAGTTAGTTTTGCCCTTCTGACCATTGTTGAGAATAAGAAATAAGACAGAGAAATAGACAGAATAAAGAAAGATGAGAATAATTTCGACAATTTAAACACTTAATGTTTGAATGTTACATCCATAATTTTTAATTCAAATTCATTCCGAGTGCTTCTTCGTGATCTTTCATTATCCTTAGAATATGCTTTCATTATCAATTTAATGCAAAAAACAGTTTCAAGCCTTCCTTGCATGTGATTAACATATGCATATGTTAGTAGTTTTCCTGTTGGGAGAATGGCCTGATTCAAGGCGATAAGTTCGAGTCAGGAGGTCGATTCAAGTGTGATATGGTTAATACTGCACGCTATTAATTGAGAGTTTGCTTAATCAATAACCATTTAATTACTGAATGCACAAATTGCTTGAATTTTTCTTATTTTTGTTGATTGATCCATGAAAAGTTGAGCCATTCGCCAGCTCCTGAAAAAGTTCTATTGATGTTTTATAATACAAAAGATTTTATGATAATTTTGCAATCAATTTCAAATTCTTGATGAATTAGTGACTTGATCGAGCTTAAAATCATTGATGTAGCTCGAACTCTTGTGAAAACACTTTCAAAAAATAATGCTTAACCGCCTTATCATAGACTGAGGAATCATAAGTTCATGAATAAACATATAATTCTACAGTTTATTGCATAGAGGTCAACACAAAATGATTAAAAATCGGAAGAACTGTTCAAAGTTATCTTTCAAAGTCCACAGAACCAATCGGCCACTTTATATGTGCTGATGTTCACACTACACAAGATATAACGCAATTTTGAATGTTAGATAAAAGTTTGAGGAAAAAAATGCAAATCAAAAGTAATTTTGGACAAAACATTAACGAATATTGTCTTTCTAAAATCCATAACATTCAATGCCCAAAGGCCAATCATAACGATCCATTATTAAGAATCATTATTTACAATGTAATTCATTAACAATAGAGGGAAACATTTTATAAAATGTAATATCCTGATGACATTGTGACAAAACAAGTCAATTAATTCATATTGAGTTGAGTAGTGAAACCATAAACTTCTTATTAACTTTGTTCTGATAAAAATTACAGTTACAGGTTGGACTGAACAATTTGCATTTTGCACTTTGGATTTGCAATGGATTTTTACAGTGGACTGTTTAGTGTTGGTTCATTGAAAGTGCTTTTGTTTTCAGTAATTTCATATTTCGTTTATGTTTATCTATTGAAACCTGCATTACATTATATTTATATTGTTATTCATTATCATGGATTCCATTATCAACCAAAAAGTTTTCTTCTGGGACATGTGAAGCAAATTTGGCCAAATTTTCCGTTCCCTATTGAAATGAAGACGGTTGCAGGTAAGTAATTAAATTAAGTTGCATCTCTCCGAATCATTTTGATTCAACTTCGCCAATCTTTATAAGTTATTTCGATAAGAGCTAATGTTCAAAGTTATTAGAGATAAAAGTTCCAATTTTCTTGGTTAAACGCTTGAACTCTTAAAATATTATCTCTTAGCAGCTTCAAAGATTGGCAAAATTGGAACATGAACTTCCAAAATAATAATTTGAATGACTTCATATTTTTCAGGAAATTTATACGAAAAGATGCTTAAAATTGTCGGTCCTAATCCAAGTCGATCTTTATCAGTTTTATGGATTTCCATTTTTCCAGTCGTCTTTGCTTCGGGTCATGAAGTAGTAGAGGTAAATTGAATAATCAATTATGAAATACATGAGTCGATGGATGCGAACCGCTAGTTATTTCAGCTGATATTTTAGGTCATTTGCACTAGCTATTTGAATGGACTGATTAACAGTCCCCACGAAAACTAACTAATTACCTAATGAATAAATTACTTTTTTCATTTAATTAAGGCATCGAGTTGATTTATCTTTGATTTTCTCCTTGTTCATCATATAAATAGAAGATATTGCACCGGACAAACCTGAAGAGGCCACATTTTTGTAAATTTCTTGGCCTAGGAGATGGATTGATATCTTCAGAACCTGATGTTTGGAAGGTTCGAAGGAAGTTGATTGAACCTTTTTTCACGACTAAAAAGATGAGAGACCATGCTAAACACATGTATGAAGAGGTTAAATCATTTGGTCAACAATTGGATAAGGAAGTTGGTAAACCCGTTGACTTGGTTCATCAAATACACACAAGTACTTTGAACATCATTTTAAAAACTAGTGCAAGTATTCCTTTAGAAGATTCAATCGAAGATAAAGAAAGATATGTCGAACTAGTTAGCACAGTGGAAAGAAATGCTGTCAAACGCGCTGCAAACCCACTTTATCAACTTGATTGGATGTTCAAGTTATTTCAGTTTAGTCAAGTTTATTATAAAGCGATCAGTAGTACGGTAGAAATTATAAATAAAATGTTTAGGCGAAGAAAGCAACTGTTAAAGGATTCATCATCGAATGAACCAGAAAACCAGGATTTAGTTGGTTTACTTGAAGGTAAAGTGGATGAACAAGGACTTTTAGATGAGTTGATAACGCTTATTGGAGCTGGACATGATACAACTGCAGTCGCTTTACGTTGGAATCTATTCAATATCGGTAAGATTTTGATCAATAATTGGATTAACATGTTGTTTGAAAATTGTGGATTAGTTCAAAATAATTGTTCATCTAATTCATCTTTCATTTTAGGCAATCATTATGATGTACAAGAGAAACTGTATAAAGAGATTATTCAATTTTTCCCTGATGACACACCGATAGATGATATGGATAAACTGAAAGAGTGCGTTTATCTTGAGCAGGTCATAAAAGAATCACTTCGGTTGAATCCTTCTGTTCCCGGTACTACGAGAGTACTTGAAGAAGATATAATGTTAAATGATGAACGACTTATCAAAGGTTCAATGGTTAACGTCTCATCTCTAGCAACTCATTACGACCCAAATGTTTATCCCAACCCAACAAAATATGATCCTGATAGATGGAGTCCTGAAAATGCCTCTAAAATACCTAAAACAGCTTGGATTCCTTTTGGTTATGGACCACGAATCTGTATTGGATACCGATATGCAATGGTAGAGCTCAAGATTTATACAGCTCAAATTATTCGTAAATTCAGTTTAAGATCAACTCGACCTCATGGAAGTGTTTCAATGCTGTATGAAGTTACTTTTCAGCCATCCTTGCCTTTGGAAATAATAATGACACCAAGAAATAACAATCAATCAAATTTGTAAAACTATTGTGCTAAATTAAATTGTTCATTATACGTTCATTCAAGTTTATGTTATTATAACAGTTGAATGTAAGATTATCATCTAATGAATTAGAATCATTAGTTCTAATAGTTCAATTGATGAATTACTCAATTTTGGTTATTTCTCAGTCTCACAAGTCTCAGTTCTTTGTCTAGTCTTTTGGTTATATTAATATAACAATGTTAAATTGAATTCTGGTGACACCATCTTAAAGTACATTCGATATGCTTACGAACACATTTATTTTCAGAAACAGAGATCTAAAGATTAATAGCTACAAATGTCAAGTAAAGCATGCTTTTAATTTCTACGTCAAAAAATAATTGCTACTAAAGCCCAATTCAAATTAATTTCACATTAGTTTTTTCAATTTAATGGCAAGGTACATCGAATAAGCCTTGAAGCATCAGTAATTTTTCAAAATCCATGGACAGAGAACAGTAATAATAGTCTGAATCTAATCATTGTCATCAACTGTGGAAACTTCACAACAAGAAATATCTGCACTTTTCCCTGATGATACACTAGTAGACGATATGGATAAAATAAACCAAAACAATCAAAAATTCATCAAATAATCATTTAGATTGAATCATCGTATTCGCAAAAGTACTTAAAAATTAAAATACAATCACTTTTATTACTCGTTTAACCATTATGACCCAATGGTTATCCCGAATCAGATAAACATTACACTGATAGATGGAGTCCTGAAAACCGAAGCATCTTTTGTAACTTTTGGTTGAGGACAACATATCTGCATTAGATATCGTTATGCAATGATAGCGTTCAAATTTACTCAGCTCAAGTTTTCATTACAGTCGTAAATTTAGTTTAAGATCAGCTCGAACACATGGAAGCATTCCACTTAAGTCTTAAACATTTGTTGTATACACATAAAACCATTCTAAGATAATTTGAAGAAAGGATTGAATTGAAATTGATTGGACTTCGACGTAACAAATGCAATGCCTTGTCCAAACTATGCGACTTTGATAACTCAAAGTTTCCTTGATGAACAAAAGTATCGAGAATTGGAAGTTGCTTTTTTGTCAATTTCATTCAATAATTACAAGCGTTTAATATATTCTAATAGATTTTACATTTACCATTCTAAAGATTATTTGCAAAAAGGATTGACGAGCAATAAAAAATTAAGGTGAAATTTTATGAAATTTACTGAAATAATATAACAATATTAACATATATGTGAGATAAAGGACTCAAAACATGATAAACTGTGGTTTATTGAATTGATAGCTATCAATTCACAGAAAGACGTGAACAATACTGAAAATAGAAGGAAAATTTTCGCATTTTCAGAGTTTTCCAACAAATTTGGTTAATCGATTGAAAGTCAGATAAACAGTGAAACTGTAAACTTGAGTTCATTTGATAGTTCTTGTTACTCCAAAGCTACATTTGTAATTTGACTATTAATATTGAAAAATAGTTAACCCTTAAACTTACAATGGTTGATATTGGATTGTTAAGTCTCCAAACACTGAAACTGTTTTTGTTTTCGGCAACTTTGTATTACATTTATGTTTACCTATTGAAGCCCGCTCTAAATTTTGTTTATATGGTCATTCATTATCATGGGTTTCCATCTTATCCGAAAAACTTTCTTCTTGGACATTTGAAGCACTTTTGGACAAACTTTCCATTCCCAAACGACGCTGCAAGTGTTTCAAGTAAGTTATCAATTTTACAATCAAATTTCAACCCAATCATGATTGAAATGTTTTACTATTCAGAAAATGTGTACGAAGCGGTCAATAAGATTGTTGCTCATAACCCAGATGAATCGCTATCAGTTGCATGGATTTCAATCTATCCAGTTATAATACTTACGGGTCATGAAGCAGTAGAGGTAAAGTGAAACATAATTTTAAAGAATTGACATGTTCGTCGATTACTTGATTATTTATTGATTCATAATTAAGCTGGAAAACTTTTCTTATATTAGATTCTGCTGGACAAGAAAAATTTGAAGAAACCTCATTTTTACAAGTTTATGGGCCTAGGAGATGGACTGATACCTTCAGACCCTGAAATTTGGAAGGTTCGAAGGAAGTTGATTGAACCTTTCTTCTCGACTAAAAAGATGAAAGATCATGCTGAGAACATGTATCAAGAGATGGAATCATTTGGTCAACGATTGCATGATGAAGTTGGTAAGCCCATTGACTTGGTTCATCAAATACATACAAGTACATTGAACATCATTTTAAAGTCTGCTACAAGCATTCCTTTAGATGATTCAATGGAAGATAAAAAGAAATTTACCAAATTAGTGGATAAAATCGAACCCAACCTTTGTCGAAGAGGAACAAATCCTTTTTACTATTTTGATTGGCTTTTCAAGTTTTTCGAGTTTGGCCGAGCTTATAATAAAACCAATGATATGATCGCAGAGTTTATAAACCATATATTGACTCAAAGAATGGAAATATTCGAGAATGCCCTCAATGAACCAGAGAATCAGGATTTCATTCATTTACTCGAAGACAAAATCGACGAACAAGGAATTCACAATGAACTGCTAACTCTTATCATAGCTGGACATGAAACGACAGCAGTGGCTTTACGTTGGATCTTATTCAATCTCGGTAACATTCCCTTCTTCATTTCAACCCTAATTGCGTCTAATTGTCTCTAAATTCATCTTTTCTTTCAGGCAATCATTTAGATGTACAGGAAAAACTGTACAAAGAGATTATTCAATTTTTCCCTGATGATGCACCGATAGATGATATGGATAAAATCAAACAGTGCAATTATCTTGATCAATGCGTAAAAGAATCACTTCGATTGAATCCTCCAGTCTATGGTATTGCAAGAGTACTCGAAGAGGATATCATGGTAAAGGATAAAAGACTCATCAAAGGTTCGGTTGTTGGTGTCATGATTGAAGCAACTCATCGCGACCCAAAAGTTTATCCCAATCCCAAAAAATACGATCCTGATCGATGGAACCCTGAAAATGCATCAAAAATACCGAAAGCAGCTTTTATACCTTTTGGTTACGGACCTCGATCCTGCATTGGATATCGCTATGCAATGATAGAACTAAAGATTTACACAATTCAAATCATTCGTAAATTCAGTTTAAGATCGACTCGACCACACGGAAGCATTCCACTAAAAGCTGATATTACTTTGAGACCAGTTGAACCTTTGGAGATAATAATGAAACCAAGAAACCACAACTGAACTCGTAAATTGAACCGGTTTTTTGGTTTTTTGGTTATAAATTGATTGCAAAGATATTTAGTTGGTAAAGGGTCAAAACAGAGAAGGTCAATAAAGCGAAAAGAGGTTTAACTTGAAATTTTAAGCTCTTCATTTTTAATCGGTTTTCTATTGATATTTCAATGAATTTACTAAATAAAAACTCATTTATGGCCATTGACCATTCAACTTTCGTCGCTTTTTTCACGTTTATGCTTTTTCAATATTATCTTTTCATTGCAATTGTTCAATCATGTCTGATAATTTTCGCTTTGTGAATTCAAACAAAGGTGCTAAACTTTTAGTGCTCGACAATTATATTCATCGTCGGACTAAACTTCAAGATAAAAGTCGTATTGGACGTGTGTTCGAGCGGATTGCAAAGGCAAAGTTAATTTATTTTGTGACACAATAACATCAAAATCTGAACATAGTCATGAACCTGATTCAGTAAAATTAATTGCAATTGAGCAGAAGAATGCAGCCAAACTTTTGGCTAAACAACAAAACTATTGTAATATAAAAACAACATATATTGAGGCATCTAATCATGTTTTATCGACGCTACATCAGACATCAAGGCTGTCGTGCAGGTTCAATAAATACCCAGAGGGCGATTGAAGATTCAGATTAGTTGAAACATTCATTTAATTCATTAATTCAATTCATCTTCTTTTTCTTTGCTTTCTTTTTTATATTTACAGTGAAAACTGTGTTTATATTTGGGCTGCCCTGGCATCTGAAATGATACCCACAGGGCGATTAAAGTAATCAGGTTAGTTGAAGCATTCATTTAAACCATGATTTTCGAAAAAACGAAATATTATATAAAATCGAAGGTCATTTTGTGTTAAAAAGTAACTGTTTATACCAACTGTTAGTTTCAAAGTAATCTTTTTGATTAAAGTTTTGGATTGAATTGGTTATCAAATTTACAATGGCTTTTTACAGTGAACTGTTTAGTGTTGGTCCATTGAAATTGCTTTTGTTTTCAATTGTTTCATATTTTATTTATGTTCATCTATTGAAACCTGCATTACATTATATTTATATTGTTATTCATTATCATGGATTCCATTATCAACCAAAAAGTTTCCTTCTCGGACATTTGAGGCAAATTTGGCCAAATTTTCCGTTCTCTATTGATAGGAAGAGCCTTGCAGGTAAGTTATCAAGTCGAATCACTCAAAATGACAACAATTTAAATGTTTTATATTTTTCAGCGTCTATAATCAAACAGTTGTGTAAAACGGTTGGTCCTGATCCAAGCCGTTCTTTATCAGTTTTATGGATTTCGCTGTTTCCACTCGTCTGTGCTTCGGGTCATGAAATAGTAGAGGTGAATTGAAAACCCAATTGATTTTTCACCAAATAACTTATTCTTACTTTGGGTGTTGCTTCGAATCTAATCTAATTCTGACACACAATAGACCTAAACTCAAGTAATTGTTAGTGCTTACTGTTAGTAACACAATCAAGTTAGTTGGTAAGGTATGACTGGTAAAGTTTTGGACAAATTTTTCGATAATAAAATGAGACAGTTAGACTAGACTTACAGGCACCATTAAAACGTCAAAATGAAGGTGCACTTCATAAAAATATGTTTTATAAAAATAAACTAATTTTGACCAAAAATTGTTAAGTTATGGCCTTAAATAGACAAAGGCATCAAATCTGATTTTTTCTTTCGTCAAAAACCATATTTTTTTAAATTCATACCAAGATCTTGCAGGTTCAAAAAATGGCAAAATTTGGCCTCAAAGATGTTAAAAAGGGTGTAATTTGCTTAATATAATTCAACATAAGTCAATTGGAAGGTTCAGGTCATTCTCGAAACTAAATTTCATGGACATTTGATAGGAAAACGAATTTTTAAGCTTTCAAAAAAAAACTTTTTGCAAAAAGGACTTCGATTTTTAATATTTCCTGAAATTATTCCAGAATAAAAAGCTCAGAAGTTCACTTTGCTGCTTTTGGTAAAATTCCGATCTTTTATGGTGCAGTAATCTATGTAATCTATTTCGGGACTCGAAACCGAAGTCTTTTTTTAAAAAGTCAATTTTGATTTCATGAAAAATCGTTTTCATACCGAACGTCCATGAAAATTAGTTTCCAAGGTGACCTGAACCTTTCAACCGATCTATTTTGATTTATATTAGGCGAATCACATCCTTTTTAATCACTTTGAGCCCAAATTCTTCTAAGCCATGCTATAAAGTTGAAAATATAAGGTTTTTGACGAAAGAAAAAATCAGATTTTGACGCCTTTGTCTATTTAACACCATAACTTAACAATTTTTGGTCAAAATTAGTTTATTTTTATAAAACATATTTTTATGAAGTGCACCTTCATTTTGTCGTTTTAATGGTGACTGTAAGTCTAGTCTAACTGTCTCATTTTATTATCGAAAAATTTGTCCAAAACTTTACCAGTCATACCTTACATCCTAATTCTGTGAGACTAACTATTCTTCGAACTTTATAAAAGCGACTTATCCAGTTCAATAATTTCGATTCTAATAATCAATTCCAAGTCAGCATAACCGGCTACCCAAAATGGGGTGAAACCTGAATTTTAACGCAACTTTTAACGGTTTTAACTTTGTCTATTCAAATAAGACTTTGCTATGAAAGCTTCAGACGGACTATCATAACTGTGATGAAAGCATTTGTGTTTAATTGACCTTTTACTTTCTCTTTAATAGGAAATCTTGCACAAGAAAAATTTGAGGAAACCAAGGATTAATAATTTTGTTGGTCTTGGAGATGGACTGTTAATTTCTGAACCTGCACTTTGGAAGGTTCGAAGGAAGCTGATTGAACCTTTCTTCACGACTAGAAAGATGAGAGATCATGTTAAGAATATGTATCAGGAGGTGAAATCATTTGGTAAACAGTTGGATGAGGAAGTCGATAAACCAGTTGACTTGATCAACCACATACAAACAAGTACTTTGAACGTCATTTTGAAGTCCAGTGCAGGTATTCCTTTAGATGATTTAAAGGAAGATAAAGAAAAATTGGTCGAACTAATTGCAATAGGGGAAAGATATGGTGTTCAGCGAATGGGAAACCCATTTTGGCATTTTGATTGGATCTTCAATATGTCCACGTTTAGTAAAGCTTATTATAAAACCATTGAGAACATGAAAGAAATGGCTCATACTATATTTAGAAAAAGAAAACAACTATTGCAAAGTTTACCTTCGAATCAACCAGAAAACCAGGATTTCCTCTTTTTGATCGAAGGTAAAGTGGATGACCAGGGACTGCTCGATGAAATGAACACTCTTATTGCAGCTGGACATGAGACAATAGAACTCGCTTTACGTTGGACTCTATTCAATCTTGGTAAGATTTTAATAAATGATTGGATTGATATTGCTTGAAAATAGTGGATCAGTCTGCAATAATTGTTTCTAATTCATCTTTCATTTTAGGCAATCATTTAGATGTACAAGAGAAACTGTACAAAGAGATAGTTCAATTTTTCCCTGATGACACACCGATAGATGATATGGATAAACTCAAAGAGTGCGTTTATCTCGATCAATGCGTAAAAGAAACACTTCGATTGAATCCTCCAGTCTGGGGTTTTGCAAGACAGCTTGAAGATGATATCATGGTAAAGGGGCAAAGACTTATCAAAGGTTCGATTGTTGGTATTGTAGTCGAAGCCACTCATCACGACCCAAAAGTTTATCCCAATACTAAAAAATACGATCCTGATCGATGGAACCCTGAAAATGCGTCAAAAATACCGAAAACTGCTTTTATACCTTTTGGTTACGGACCTCGAATGTGTATTGGATATCGCTATGCAATCATAGAACTAAAGATTTTTACAATTCAAATCATTCGTAAATTTAGTTTAAGATCGATTCGACCACACGGAAGCATTCCACAAAAGGCGGAAATTACTTTGAAACCAGTTGAACCTTTGGAGATAATAATGAAACCAAGAACAACAACTAAACTCGTAAATTGAACCGGTTGTTGGATTTTTGGTTATAAATTGATTGCAATGATATTTAGTTTTTTGTATAATCGTTTATATTGACACAGAAGTTTCCTTAAAAATAAAGATTCATAATTATTTCACAAATTTAATCTGTCCATTTATTGAACAAATTCAGTGGAAATGTCTTCAGGCATCAAGACTGTCGTGCAGGTTCAATAATTAAAGGTTTCAATTTTTCTTTCTTCTCTTTCTTTGCTTTCTTTTTTATTTACAGCGAAAATGCGGTCAATAAGATTGTTGCTCATAATCCAGATGAATCGCTATTAGTTGCATGGATTTCAATCTATCCAGTTATTAGGTTGTTCGCGTCATTTTGAGCCCGACGCATTTTGAAATAATTTTTCGATAAGTTAACATAATCGATCGCTTTTTTCGTGAACTTATATTATTCAAATCAGCTCAAAATTTACAATTCAACTTTTATTTTAGTTTTGAAGGCCATCGCAATTTAGGCCGTTCGCCGCTTTTCGATTGAATTGGTCTACAGTCGCTCCATAAAGCAGTACAGATACGTAATGCTGCTCGCACGATAGCCTAAGGACCTGACTCTCATCCAACAAAATTATCATTTGATTGCGTTTATTTCCTTTCTTCTACAGCGTAGCTATCGTAAACATGACTTACCTTGTTCGAATCGATATAACTGTCGATTCGAGTGCTATAATCTGATTTCTGATAGTTTCTCTGCAAGATCAGACTCGGTTTTATAATATTCAAAACTTTCAGTGGATGAATAACAGTTAACAACTGAGTAAAGTCAAAAAGTTCGCTATTTTGATCATTTTTCCATAAAAAATGACCTTTTGGCCTTTTCCTGCCGAATAATCGTGCAGAACACTATGCATTTTACCTTGTCGAAAAGTAGAAGAAAAGCTGTACACAACATTTTCATATGCAGAGAGATCAGATCACTAATTATTAAGTAACAACCAATCAAAAAGGGCTCATTTTCTTCCGAACAGCCTAATATAATACTTACGGGTCATGAAGCAGTAGAGGTAAAGTGAAATATAATTTTAAAGAATTGACATGTTCGTCGATTACTTGATTTTTCATTGATTCATGGACAACTTTCTTTATATTAGATTCTGCTGGACAAGAAAAATTTGAAGAAACCTCATTTTTACAAATTTATGGGCCTAGGAGATGGACTGATACCTTCAGACCCTGAAATTTGGAAGGTGCGAAGAAAGTTGATTGAACCTTTCTTCTCGACTAAAAAGATGAAAGATCATGCTGAGAACATGTATCAAGAAATGGAATCATTTGGTCAACGATTGCATGATGAAGTTGGTAAGCCCATTGACTTGGTTCATCAAATACATACAAGTACATTGAACATCATTTTAAAGTCTGCTACAAGCATTCCTTTAGATGATTCAATGGAAGATAAAAAGAAATTTACCAAATTAGTGGATAAAATCGAACCCAACCTTTGTCGAAGAGGAACAAATCCTTTTTACTATTTTGATTGGCTTTTCAAGTTTTTCGAGTTTGGCCGAGCTTATAATAAAACCAATGATATGATCGCAGAGTTTATAAACCATATATTGGCTCAAAGAATGGAAATATTCGAGAATGCCCTCAATGAACCAGAGAATCAGGATTTCATTCATTTACTCGAAGACAAAATCGACGAACAAGGAATTCACAATGAACTGCTAACTCTTATCATAGCTGGACATGAATCGACAGCAGTGGCTTTACGTTGGATCTTATTCAATCTCGGTAACATTTCCTTTTTCATTATAACGCTAATTGCGTCTAATTGTCTCTAAATTCATCTTTCATTCCGAGCAATCATTTAGATGTTCAGAAAAAACTGTACAAAGAGATTATTCAATTTTTTCCTGATGATGCACCATTGGATGATATGGATAAAATCAAACAGTGCAGTTACCTCGATCAATGCGTAAAAGAATCATTGCGATTGAATCCTCCAGTCTATGGTATTGCAAGAGGATATCATGGTAAAGGATAAAAGACTCCGCAAAGGTTCGGTTGTTGGTATTGTAGTCGAAGCAACTCATCACGACCCAAAAGTTTATCCCAATCCCAAAAAATATGATCCTGATAGATGGAGTCCTGAAAATGCATCAAAAATACCGAAAGCTGCTTATATACCTTTTGGTTACGGGCCTCGATCATGCATTGGATATCGCTATGCAATGATAGAACTAAAGATTTACACAATTCAGATTATTCGTAAATTCAGTTTAAGATCGACTCGACCACACGGAAGCATTTCACTAAAAGCTGAATTACTTTGAGACCAGTTGAACCTTTGGAGATAATAATGGAACCAAGAAACAACAACTAAACTCGTAAATTGAACCCGTTATTAAATTTTTGGTTATAAATTGATTGCAATGATATTTAGTTTTTTGTATAATCGTTTATATTGACACAGAAGTTTCCTTAAAAATAAAGGTTCATAATCATTTCACAAATCTGATCCGTCCATTTATTGAACAAATTCAGTGGAAATGTCTTCAGGTATCAAGACTGTCGTGCAGATTGAATGTTGCAATTTTTCGTTCTTCTTTTTCTTTCTTTTTTATAATATTTACAGTGTGTGTTTATATTTGGATGGCCTTGGCATCTGAAATGACACCCACAGGGCGATTGAGTAATCAGGTTAGTTGAAGCATTCATTTAAACCATGAATTTACACCGATTAGTAAATTTGGTTTCGATAGAGGGAAATATTTTTATAAAATTAATGGTCTCTGTTAAATAGTATCTGTTTAAACCAATTGTTAGTTTCAAAGTAACATTTTTAGTTAAAGTTTTGGATTGAATTGGTTATCAAATTTACAATGGCTTTTTACAGTGGATTGTTTAGTGTTGGTTCATTGAAATTGCTTTTGTTTTCAATTGTTTCATATTTTATTTATATTCATCTATTGAAACCTGCATTACATTATATTTATATTGTTATTCATTATCATGGATTCCATTATCAACCAAAAAGTTTCCTTCTCGGACATTTGAGGCAAATTTGGCCAAATTTTCCGTTCTATATTGATAGGAAGACGCTTGAAGGTAAGTGATCAAGTCGAATTACTTCAAATGATAACAATTTAAACGTTTCATATTTTTAGCGTCCATATACAAACAGTTACATACAATTGTTGGTCCTGATCCAAGCCGATCTATATCAGTTTTCTGGGTTTCGCTGTTTCCACTCGTCTTTGCTTCGGGGTATGAAATAGTAGAGGTAAATTGAAAAACTTATTTTGATTTTTTTTACCAAATAAATTATTACTTTGGGTCTTGATTCGAATCTAATCTAATTCTAACACACAATAGACCTAAACTGTAGTAATTGTCAGTTTAATGTTGATAACGCAATCAAGTTGGTAATATTAATACAAAAAAAATTCTGCGAGACTAACCTTTCCTCAAACTTTATAAAAACAACTGATCTAGTTCAATAATTTTGAGTCTAATTATCAATTCCTGATCAAGATAACCGTCAAAACTACCCACAATGAGGGTGAAACCTGAATTTTAACGCAACTTACAACGCTTTTAACTTTGGACATTTGTTGCTTCAAGTGTGACTTTGCTATAAAAGCATCAAACGGACTATAATAACTGTGATCGCATTTGTGTTTAATTGACCTTTTACTTTCTCTTCAATAGGAAATCTTGAACAAGAAACCTTTGAAGAAACCAATGATTTATAGATTTCTTGGGCTTGGAGATGGACTGATAAGTTCTCCACCTGCGATTTGGAAGGTTCGAAGGAAGCTGATTGAACCTTTCTTCACGACTAGAAAGATGAGAGATCATGCTAAGAATATGTATCAAGAGATGGAATCATTTGGTAAACAGTTGGATGGGGAAGTTGGTAAACCAATTGACTTGATCCATCACATACACACAAGTATTTTGAACATCATTTTAAAGTCGAGTGCAGGTATTCCTTTAGATGATTGTATGGAAGATAAAAAAAAAATAGTCGAACTAGTTGCAACAGGGGAAAGAAATGCTGTTCAGCGATTGATAAACCCATTTTACCAGTTTGATTGGATCTTCAATTTATCCACGTTTAGTAAAGCTTATTATAAAGCTATCGAAAACTTTGAAGAAATGGCTTATAACATATTTAGAAAAAGAAAGCAACTATTGCAAAGTTTACCTTCGAATCAACCAGAAAACCAGGATTTCCTCTTTTTGATCGAAGGTAAAGTGGATGACCAGGGACTGCTCGATGAAATATACACTCTTATTGCAGCTGGAAATGAAACAATAGAACTCGCTTTACGTTGGAATCTATTCAATCTTGGTAAGATTTGCATAAATGATTGGATTACTATGTTGCTTGAAAATTGTGGATCAGTCTAAAATAATTGTTCACCTAATTCATCTTTCATTTTAGGCAATCATTTAGATGTACAAGAGAAACTGTATCAAGAGATAGTTCAATTTTTCCCTGATGACAAACCGATAGATGATATGGATAAACTGAAAGAGTGCGTTTATCTCGATCAATGCGTAAAAGAATCACTTCGAATGAATCCTCCAGTCTGGGGTTTTGCAAGAGTACTCGAAGAAGATATCATGGTAAAGGATAAAAGACTCATCAAAGGTTCGGTTGTTAGTGTCTTGGTTGAAGCAACTCATCACGACCCAAAAGTTTATCCCAATCCCAAAAAATATGATCCTGATAGATGGAGTCCTGAAAATGCATCAAAAATACCGAAAGCAGCTTTTATACCTTTTGGTTACGGGCCTCGATCATGCATTGGATATCGCTATGCAATGATAGAACTAAAGATTTTTACAATTCAAATCATTCGTAAATTTAGTTTAAGATCGACTCGACCACATGGAAGCATTCCACAAAAGGCGGAAATTACTTTGAAACCAGTTGAACCTTTGGAGATAATAATGAAACCAAGAAACAACAACTAAACTCGTAAATTGAACCGGTTGTTGGATTTTTGGTTATAAATTGATTGCAATGATATTTAGTTTTTTGTATAATCGTTTATATTGACACAGAAGTTTCCTTAAAAATAAAGATTCATATTTATTTCACAAATTTAATCTGTCCATTTATTGAACAAATTCAGTGGAAATGTCTTCAGGCATCAAGACTGTCGTGCAGGTTCATTAATTGCAGGTTTCATTTTTCTTTCTTCTCTTTCTTTGCTTTCTTTTTTATTTACAGCGAGAACTGTGTTTATATTTGGATGGCCTTGGCATCTGAAATGATACCCACAGGGCGATTGAAGTAATCAGGTTAGTTGAAGCATTCATTTAAACCATGAATTTACACCGATTAGTAAATTTGGTTTTCAATAGAAGGAAATATTCTTATAAAATCAATGGTCGTTTTGTGTTAAATAGTAGCTGGTTAAACCAATTGTTAGTTTTAAAGCAACATTTGTGATCAAAGTTTTGGACTGAATTGGTTACCAGAATTTACAATGTCTTATATTGGATTTATTAGTGTTGATTCATTGAAGTTGCTTTTGTTTTCAATTGTTTCATATTTTATTTATGTCCATCTATTGAAACCTTTATTACATTATATTTATATTGTTATTCATTATCATGGATTTTATTGTCAACCAAAAAGTTTCCTTCTCGGACATTTGAGGCAAATTTGGCCAAATTTTCCGTTCTCTATGGATAGGAAGACGCTTGCAGGTAAGTAATCAAGTCGAATCACTCCAAATTACAGCAATTTAAATGTTTCGTATTTTTCAGTGTCTATATACAAACAGTTGTATAAAAATGTTGGTCCTGATCCAAGCCGATCTCTATCAATTTTTTGGGCTTCACTGTTACCACTCGTCTTTGCTTCGGGTCATGAAGTAGTAGAGGTAAATTGAAAAACTAATTATTTATATTGATTTAAATTTATTCTCACTTTGGGTTTTGATCTAATCTGCTTCAAACACACAATAGACCTGGACTGAACTAACTGTCAGTTTAATGTAAGTAACAAAATCAAGTTAGTAATAAATATAAATTCTGTGAGACTAACTGTTCTTCAAACTTTATAAATCGACTGATCCAGTTCACTAATAGCGAGTCTAATAATCAATTCCAAGTCAGGATAACCGAAAAAACTACCCACAATGAGGGTGAAACCTGAATTTCAACGCTTTTAACTTTTAACATTTGTTGATTCAAGTGTTACTTTGGTATAAAAGCTTCAATCGGACTATCGTAACTGTCTTTGTGTTTAATTTACCTTTTATAATACTTTCTCTTTAATAGGAAATCTTGCACAAGAAAAATTTGAAGAAACCAATGATTTTTAAATTTATTGGTGTTGGCGATGGACTGTTAAGTTCTGAACCTGCACTTTGGAAGATTCGAAGGAGGCTGATTGAACCTTTCTTCACGACTAGAAAGATGAGAGATCATGCTAAGAATATGTATCAAGAGGTTGAATCATTTGGTAAACAGTTGGATGAGGAAGTCGATAAACCAATTGACTTGATCCATCACATACATACAAGTACTTTGAACATCATTTTGAAGTCCAGTGCAGGTATTCCTTTAGATGATTTAAAGGAAGATAAAGCAGCGTTAGTCGAACTAGTTGCAACACTAGAAAGAAATGCTGTTCACCGAATAGGAAACCCATTTTACCATTTTGATTGGATCTTCAATTTATCCACGTTTAGTAAAGCTTATTATAAAACCATCGAAACCATTGAAGGAAAAATTTATAACATATTTAGAAGAAGAAAGCAACTGTTACAAAGTTTACCATCGAATGAATCAGAAAACCAGGATTTTCTCTCTTTGATCGAAGGTAAAGTGGATGACCAGGGACTGTATGATGAACTGATAACTCTTATTGGAGCTGGACATGAAACAACAGCAGTCGCTTTACGTTGGAATCTATTCAATATCGGTAAGATTTAACAATGATTATTTCAGTTTAAAATTGATAATTGTTCATCTAATTCATCTTTCATTTTAGGCAATCATTTAGATGTACAAGAGAAACTGTATCAAGAGATTATTCAATTTTTCCCTGATGACAAACCGATAGATGATATGGATAAACTGAAAGAGTGCGTTTATCTAGAGCAGGTCATAAAAGAATCACTTCGGTTGAACCCTTCTGTTGCTGGTTCTGCAAGAGTACTTGAAGATGATGTCATGGTAAAGGGGCAAAAACTTATCAAAGGTTCAGTTGTTGGTGTCTCCGGTCTGGCAACTCATCATGATCCAAGTATTTATCCCGATCCAGAGAAATTTGATCCTGATCGATGGAGTCCTGAAAATGCCTCCAAAATACCTAAAACAGCTTGGATTCCTTTTGGTTATGGACCACGAATGTGTATTGGATACCGATATGCAATGGTAGAGCTCAAGATTTATACAGCTCAAATTATTCGTAAATTTAGTTTGAAATCAACTCGACCTCATGGAAGTATTCCAATTACGTATGAAATTACTTACCAGCCCACCTTACCCTTGGAAATAATAATGACACCAAGAAACAACAATCAATGAAATTTGTCAGATTCAAGTTTTTCCAGTATCATCATGTATGCATGATTAAACTAACGGTTGTAATAACAGGTTACTGTAATATTACTTTCGTAATATATGGATAAACCTAAGCAGCTTAACTTGCAAAGAAAGAAACCGTTGTAAGTCCAGTCTTTTGACCATCAGTTGTGACAAGCCCAGTCAAGGCGTGCCACACAAAAGACACCAGTAAATACTTATATAAATTACCAAGTAAAACACAATTCGAAAACAGTCCAATTCATGTTTTTAATTCATGTTGATTCAGTTTGCTAATTCAAACGCTTATAAACACGACTTTTACCACGAGTTTGATTGGACTTATCATTGATATTTCTAATCTATTCTGTCTATTCATTGAACACATTCAAATGTCTCTTTCATCGAGGCATTAATTCAAGTTATTTTACCAGTTTGATCATCAACATCAAGGTTGTCATGAAGCTTGAATATTCAAAGGTTTCAATTTTCTTGCACAGCAAACACCATGTAATGGCCTTCTTGAATGCAGTTTATAATGGTGAATGCCCATAGGCCAGTAATAACCAGGCGAGTAGAATCATCTATTGAAATCATGAATATCCATTGATAAACACGATTAACAATTGGGGGAACATTCCGATAAACTATTCCTCTGTGTTACATGGTAACAAATTGAACCAAGCAACTTAAAATCAAACATCTTTTCATTGTTAATTTCAAAGTAAATTTGTGATTCAAGTTATAGATTGAACTTGATTTACTGACGCAATTTACAATGTCTTATATTAGAAGGAAATATTTTCATAAAATTGAATAATAGTTTCTGTGTTAAAATTAACAGTATTCAGTTTTAAAGCAACATTTGTGATTAAAGTATCAGATTGAACTGAATTGGTTGCCAAATTTACAATGTATTACAGTGGACTATTTGGTGTTGATTCATCGAAGTTGCTTTTGTTTTCAATTGTTTCATATTTTATTTATGTTCATCTATTGAAACCTTTATTACATTATATTTATATTGTTATTCATTATCATGGATTCCATTATCGACCAAAAAGCTTCCTTCTGGGACATTTGAAGCAAATTTGGCCGAATTTCCCGTTCCCTATCGACACAGAAAGGCGTACAAGTAAGTTATCTAATTTGAGAAACAAATTTTCACTCAATTATTAATAAAAGTAATGAAATGATTTATATTATTCAGGAAATATATACGAACTAACCGATAAAATTTTCGAACTTAATCCAAGTCGATCTTTAACAGTTTTATGGATTTCACTCTTTCCAATCATTTTTGCTTCGGATTCTGAAACAGTAGAGGTAAAAAGAAAATCAAATTGAGATACAACTTCGAAATGATTTCAATGCAGCAATAAAACTACGGCTTTAGTGCATAAAATGAATGAAAGGTTCATATACTTTTGACGAATGATTCAAGATGCAAAAGTAAGGAATTGTGACCTTTTACTTTCTTCGTGTTTATAACAGATGATCTTGCACAAAAAGAACTTAAAGAAACCTCATTTTTACCAATTCATGGGTCTAGGAAATGGACTGTTAAGTTCTGCACCTGCCCTTTGGAAGGTTCGAAGGAAGTTGATTGAACCATTCTTCTCGACTAGAAAGATGAGAGATCATGCTAAGCATATGTTTAAAGAGGTTGAATCATTTTCTCGACAGTTGGATGATCAAGTTGGTAAACCCGTTGACTTGGTCAATCAAATACACAGCAGTACATTGAACATCATTTTAAAGTCTGCTACAAGCACTTCTCTAGATGATTCGTTTGATGATAAAAAAAGATTTCTCGAACTAATTGAAAGTCTGGAAAAAAATTGCGTCAGGCGATTGTCAAACCCATTTTATCAGCTTGATTGGACTTTCAAGTTATTCAAGTTTAGCCAATTTTATCATCAAACGATCCAAGACATTGAAAAGTTCATAAATACAATCTTAAGCCGAAGAAAGCAACAGTTGCAATGTTCAACATCGAATGAACCAGAAAACCAGGATTTCGTTGATTTACTTGAAGGTAAAGTCGATGAACAAGGACTTTTAGATGAACTGGTAACTCTTATTGGAGCTGGACATGATACAACCGCATTGACTTTACGTTGGATTTTATTCAATCTCGGTAAGAGTCCGTTCTTCATTTTAAGAAACACTAAATTTCGTCTGGTTGTTTCTAATTGCTCTTTCATTTTAGGCAATCATTTAGACGAACAAGAAAAACTGTATCAAGAGATTATTCAATTTTTCCCTGATGATACACCATTGGGTGATATGGATAAAATTAACCAATGCATTTATCTTGAGCAGTGCATAAAAGAATCGCTTCGATTGAATCCTCCTGCACACATCACTTTGCGAGCACTCGAAGAGGATATCATAGTAAAGGATAAAAGACTCATCAAAGGATCAATTGTTTGTGTGTCATTTACCGCCACTCATCACGACCCAAATGTTTATCCCAATCCAGATAAATACGATCCTGAAAGATGGAACCCTGAAAACGCCTCCAAAATACCAAAAACAGCTTTCATACCCTTTAGTCATGGGCCACGATCTTGCATTGGATATCGTTATGCAATGTTAGAACTCAAGATTTATACGATTCAAATCATTCGTAAATTCAGTTTAAGATCAACTCGAAAACACGGAAGTATTCCACTCAAAGCTGAAGTTACTTTAAAGCCAGTTTTACCTCTGGAAATAATAATGACAGCAAGGAATAACAATCAGCCGGAATTGTGAAGCTAAAATGATTATAAGAATCTATTAGTAAAATTCTTGCTATCGAATCTCAAGACCAGCCAGCTCTATTTTCTGGATTTGCCATCAACTCTTATTGAAACACATCTTAATTGGAAATGAAGAATCCAAATACAATAATAAAATGCTACAACAATTAGCAGCTTGTACTGGAAGTGTATTAGTGTAACATAGAAATGAAGCATAAGCATATTCGATTTGGGCTCAATATCGAAAGGTGAAATATTAACAAACGGCAAAGGACAAATCGTACAAAGTATCGTCAAACAAATGTACACTTGTTACACAGTTTACAATACAATAAACGACAATTTAAAAGAAAAGCTTGCACATTTTCATGTGACATTTTAATTGACAATGAACAATTATGAATGAATTATCTTACAAAACAAAAGTTATTAATATGTTTACAATACTTTGTTATTTATATACACTGAGTTTGTTAAAAATGGGCAAGACTTGTACAGTTCTTGACGTGAATTTTAGTCCATCTTTAAATTGCAATAAAGTTGTAAAATAAGTCTTTAAACAAAGTCTCGCTTTTAACTGGATATCAAATTGTTCGTCAATTACTTATCTTTGTGTGTGATCTTTTACAATGGCTTGAAAGCGATTTGGATGTTGCATTTCATGAAAATATGATGAAAATGAATTGATTTGTTTTTCAAGTAATGAATCGTCGTTGATTATGGTGGTGATTTAATTGTGAAAATGATGTTTGTTTGCCTAGACTCTAGGTAAGGCCATGACTTCAACAGTAACGATATCTGTTTGGTAAAAAAGAGAGAGAAATAATAATTTATTTGATTCAATTTGAAATCCAAAATTCGAATGACTTTTGCATAAAAAGTTATTGGTCAAATGATAGAAACACCAGAATAAGACAATGCTATTTGCGAGTATAACAACCATAGAGAACATTAAGAATTTTGAAACTTACTCTTATCCCGACCAGGAATATCGTCATTGATGTAAACCTTTTTACCAGAAAGTCGTTTATAAGTTTGGAAGACAACAGCCATGACAGTGAAAACACCAAGCATAGAGAATGCATAGAGGAATGGGAAAAGCCAAACTTTTCGTAATTGCTAAATAAGAAATAGAAAGGTCCAAATAACGTTATTAGCTTTAGATTTATGGTTGTGATATTTAATTCTGTAAATGATTACCTCGAAGGGATAGGATAGAGAAACAATGGCCAAAGCAGTTCCAACATTTTGAATTCCACATTCAATAGCAACAGTCCTTCGAGATGAATATGGCAGTGAAAAGATTGAAGCACAACCAAAACCCAATGCAAGACCAAGAACGGGTAATGCTACTTCAGCGACGTATAGTTTGGCTGGAACATCATCGAAAATGTCGGGGAAAATCATAACTTCAAGAGCTTCACAGACAACAATGATCAAGAAACCAGCTACACTTCCGACCTGTAGTTAGTGATGAGATTGAACAAATGTCATTTTATATTTTAGCTTATTCTACAGCATACAGTTTTTTATAAGAATTGTGTATTAACTAATTTGATTGTAGAACTCAATTTTGCCCCAGGATTACCAGAAGCTTTACCAATGTGTATTGCGACTTACTTTGGTTAAAAATGGAGCGACCTTTGGCCATTTCCAGAAGACAATCATCCCGAAAAGAACTGGAAGTGTTAGGAAGAACAATGAATATGTCATTTTAGCGTATGGAATGACAATTGTATCAGATTCAAGGGATCGTCCATAGAGCCAGATATTGAAAGGCATCATCCAAAGAGCTACAACTGTAGACAAAGAGGTCATGGTGACACTGAAAAGAAACATGAGAAATATTAACAATCGAACATTGAAATCTAATTGAATGTAATTACCTCAAAGAGACATCACCATCACAGAAGTATGTAAACAAATTGGAAGTGACTCCTCCTGGACTTGAGGCCAAGATGAGGAGACCAGCAGCATGTAAGGGTTCGATTCCGAGTACATTGACCAAACAGTAGGCAGACAAGGGTAACAAGAAGAATTGACTGACCATTCCAGTCAATATACCAACTGGCTTTTTTAAATGGTTCCAAACCTTCAAAAATACGAGAGAAAAATTTTATTAATCATTAGGTTCCATTTTAATGCAATCTATTTGAATCAGTGTAAATGATTTTTGGCAACAAGAATTTCAACAAACTTTCCAACTACAATAGCAAGGACTTGGCGATGTTGAATATTTAATTTGGCCCAAATCGACTGGTTTTGCTCCAGTGTTGGTAATTTTGGACTTTTTTCATCTTAAAGACTATCAGACAACTAATATTGTTCCCTCATTGAAACTAAACCGAACCAGAATTCATTTTAACCAGAAAAACCAACTAGACAAATTATTAGCTCTGTTTACAATCTTCTTAACTCCAGCATCTTAATTGAAATCGTAATGAAAATATTAAACATTCATTGAAACTAACTAATAGCAATTTGAAAATGCAAAACTTGATCAAAGCATAACAATTAAGAAAGCAAAAGTAGATAATTTGGTAAAATTGAATCGGCTTAGCAATTATTTTACTAATAATCACGATTTTTTCCTCCTTTCTTGATTAACTTTTCATCTAAAATAAAAACAAAACGCTGTTTCTTCAACCAAATGACCTTTACTGAGAAGTTTTGTTGGTCAAATATCAATGGCTATCAATCAAGTTAATAAACTTACATCTTCCTAATAAGAACAGAAAGCCACGAATTGATGAAATCAAATTATGATCAAACAAATTGTATTAAAATTTTCAGCTTCTTCAATATTGAATGTGAAAAAACACATTTATGACCTTAACTTTACTGAAAAGGTAAAAAAAGGAACCAGAAAATCGAAGGAAGACGAGTTTTTGTTTCTCAATCAAATTACTATTGACTATTAGTGTGTTACATGATGAACACCATGATTCCGTTTGAACATTTAACAGGACAAGGTCAATATAATGAAATCCGATTAGCCGGTAGTTTAACCAGCTTGCAACGGGAAAACAAACCAAAAATTAACATTTTTGATCCACTCTTAGCTTCCTGATGCAACAGTTTTAATCAGATTACAATCAATTCCATTTTGATTAGTAAATCAATACTTTATTAACAATTTAGCTCAACTTTTGTCAAACATTTGAAATCAATCAATCGTAAGCCAACGCTTACAAACAATACAAATCTTAAACAGTAGCTTTTTGGGTTAACCATATTCCAGTTTCCTTACAAGTGAACCTTTTTCTGGTTAAACAATCATTTATATCTAAACAATTAACAAATATAAATTGTTCGCCTGATCAACTAAGAACTGTCATCAGAAAAGAGTCAAATCAAAAACTAATTGAAATAAATTGAGTTAACCAGTTGGGTTCACCTAAGACATTGCAATGTGAATGAAGCGTTTTTAGGTATTACTGACTGAAGACGTTTCTGGTTTATTGAAAGCATAGACCAGTCGATGTTGAATTTTCAGGTTAAATTGTATTATATGAAATTGTCCTTTTCATGACCAATTGCCTTGTGATATCTTTCATAATATTTAGCAATTTAGCTGTAATTTTAAATTTAGTTGCTTCTCGAAAGTGGAAAATGAAAGTTTAGTGAAAATTATTGTGCTTAAGGTCATTAATCAAATAAATTATCTGAACAATCTTAGCCAAATGGTTAAACCAGAGTATAAGATGATATAATAAACCTGCAACTGAATACACTGGCTTGACTTGTAACAGTCCAAGGACTTGAGATCGTTTCACCATCAAGGTGAACATTAAGTGTTAACTGTTTAAAGGTAGAAGCCAATTAAGAAAGCAAATTACAATTTGTAAATAATAGTAATATTAATATAATAATGAGATATTCTGTTTCACTGTTCATTTCATTCATTCTCAATGTTGATAAGGCCAAGTACAATAGTGAAAAAAAAGATGGCTTCAAGAAAGATTGAAAGAGGCCAAGAACATGAAAGGTTTGGGTTAATTGTAATTGTTGAAATTCATTTCTGGTTTCAATTTAACTTCCTAATCCTTAATTTGGTTCTTGGTGAGGGTCAGGTTAATCAACGTTCACTGGTTATTTCATAATGGCTAAAATGATGGTCAATCTTTAACCAGTCCAACTTTACCAAAATCTGGTCAATGACAACTTATCTACTTTACCTAATTATGTTGATTCTCGGATTTTTGGGTTTTCAATTTAAAAATCTTGTGAAAATGTATTCAGTTTCAAACAATGTTATCATTTGTCATAATCTTGATTGTTCATAAGTGTAACATATTCATAATGTCCAAATGTGTTCAAACTGACTACAATTATGATTTGTTACTTTAAATCATATTCATTCAGTGTTTATGAAAGATTTGGTCAATTGTTTGATTCAACAGTTTATGTCAATGCTATTAATGTCATTGAAACATCTTTTTGCTTCCACATTTCAACTTCAAACTCGGATTCAATTCTGGTTTGGTTATAATAACCAGTCAACTTTCATAACCAGAAGTTTCGTCAATTTTAACCCAAAATGCTAACCTTGTATACTAATTGAGTAGATCTTGTAAAATGGTAAATCACAATCAATGGTTATCCATATTAAATTAGAAATGATGATTTTTTATTTGCAATTAACTCCTTGTTTCCTAAGAAGAGGCTAATTTAAATGCTAATGTTTCAGATTGTAAAAAAAGTGTTTAAGGTTAAGTAAACCTTGACATAGATTGTTTCATTCGGACGTTGATTGCTTAAAATTGAATGAAAAATGATAATTTGTCTGTTGATGATGTTCAACCTCAATCTCATTATAAATCAGCAACAAAACACGGAATCAAAATAATCCTTTCAATTGTAGCCTATTGTCGTTAATCACAATTAACAGTAAAACTGGAAAGCAAAACTAGAAGCAAAACAAATTGCCAATAATTGAAATGAACAAGATTAATAGCAAAAACCTAAAAAACCCAAATAACCCAATGGACAAAATAAAGGCTAAAAATCCTTCAACCCAATAATTTGACTATTTTTAAGTTAATTAAATGATGTTAATTTTAACAGCATAATCTATGGTTAACCTTCAATTCTGTAGCTAAAAATGAAACCAACAATGAAACTTAAATGGTTAATCGTTTATAAATGATTAACATGGGATCCGAGTTAAGGCCGTTTAAAAATAAACCAAAGCAACCCTTGATAATAGATGCTGAGATTATCAATTGTTGCCTCCATAGTTGAGTTTATTTTTAGCTGTAAATCTTATGATCTGATTAATGGACAGTTAACGATTAACTCACCTCTTCCAGTGTAATTGAACATCCCATGGCAAACATGACTGAAACCAGAAGCGTTGTGATCAAAATGTCATGAATCTTTTTCAACAGCGGCGGTCCAGCTGGGGCAATGGCCATTGTCTTGACATTTGTGTCATTTAAGAGACTTAAGATGGTCGATGAAACATTAAATAAAGATGATTCTGTGAATAAATTTGGACTGGACATGATTTTTTTGAATGTGGAAATGAATTCAACTTGGAACTGTTAGGTTGGGTTGTGAATAAACACTTTGTTAAAAATGGTGTTCAATTGATTCTGTTGAGGTTTAGTCTGATCAACGATTAAAGTAAACCGTTGATTCAAATGGTTAACTGATGAGAAAGGCTCACAGGTAAAGTGTCTTTAAATGAAATTCAAGTTAACTCACTTCATTGGTATTAACAAAAAGTTATAATAATAATAATGTTAATAAAGTTGTTATATTTGTAAACACGTTAACTCCCTCACAATTGAATCAACCCACCTAGTTGAAACGTGTAAAGAGTCTCGATTAATAATAGCTGGTTGAAAATGAATCAATTAACCTTTAACAGATGATACAAAGAAATGATTGAAATATCATTGGAGTTAAGGTCAACTGGACGTCATGAGAAAGTCAAGAAAATACTCATTTCTCTTCCTTCCTCATCTTCATCAAACTGGACTTTCATTGCAGCCTTTACTTAACTTTTTAATTTACTCATCAACCCTTGACCTAATAATGAAATTCACTTTCAGTATTTTGCTTTCTTTCATTTCTTCCTACATTTCCAGCTATAATTTAGATTGTAAAATGTTTCAGCTTTTAAACCAATTGTCCGGTTGCTGGAGACTGTCAAGATCAAAAAAAGGTTTCCAGTTTCACTTTTAATTGTATTCCTTTTCTGGTTCTTCTTGAGCTTTAATTACTGCTTAATTGTTTAGGTAAATATTGGCTTTTCCATGATTATTTACAATCAAATTGCAATCTTAATTCTTTGGGAAGTTTAAATAAGCTTTGGTTGAGAAGTCGAGTTATACAAATGTAAATGTTTTTTCTTAATGCAATCATTAGATCAATCAGTTCGCTTTGTTTGAAAAGGAAGAGTTTTTTATTTTGTCTCAAATATTCTTAGCATAGATATATGTACATGAACCTTTTGCAACCAACCGGCAGCCCTTCGAAGCCGTCCTTAAACCAGTTTTACGGTCACAATTCCAAGAAGTTTTCCAGTTTCGTCAAAAGTTTCGATTCTACCGACAGAAAAATACTTCTTGTGATAAAAGAATTGACAATTGTCACTTAAGCAACAGATCACAAAAATTATGAGGGTAAGTGATAGAGACTTAGAGACCTTCAATGGACTTCGGTAGCCACCGTTTATCAAGCAAGAGTTATTTTGGGAAAAAAGTCATTCTCTGTCTTTTTTCTCTCTCTCTTTTTGTCGAATAACTTTTGCGGCCACTTTTTGATCTTAATTAAACTTACAGAGAATCATGAATTTTGACTTCACAATGAACATGTTTTCATTAGGCAGAAGTTAAGTTAACTAGGCGCGGCGGCTATTAACTGTTTGCTCTAGTATTTTAAATCATTTGACAATGCAAATGCTTGATGAAATGATTTATTTCAGTGAATGTAGACCATATTAAAATATACAAAATACCTTGAGATGAAAACGAACTGTTTTTTAGAAGTATTAATAATAATAACAACAATTTAATAAATTGTAAAATACATATTTTCAAAATTGCAAAATTAATTTGTACAATTTGTATGAAAACAGGATTGAATTGAAACAAATTTCTGGTCAACTCTTCTTGAATAGTTTGTTTTTTATGAGCTATTAATAAATAAAGTGGAAAGGCGTGAATAACTAAAGGCTTAAACGGAAATAATTGTATGCTGTTTATCAATCAAATCATTTAACTTGAGATTTAAACTCAAAATAATTTACCGATTGTTTAAAGATTCAGAAAATAAGTTTCCATGAAAATTTCAATAAAAATTGAATAATTTTTAGCCATTCAGAGAGCAAACAAACTTTATTGTTCAGCATTGTTGATACTTCAACACTTTTTAAGACTAAACAAATGATAATCAATGAATAATCTGGTTTTTATCGGTTAAAGGTTGATCTTTTTCGTTTCGTCTACGTTATTGAAAATTCCATCGAGGACAGAACTTCCGATCTTCAAAATTGCCATCTTAAATGAACCTGCATAAACCAGTAGATTTATTCATTAGATTTGCTTTTATCTCCAAACCTCGAGTTCCACAGACTCGTTTTGTGTGAATTGTTGAGTTTAAGTAAAAACTCGAGTGCTTTTCAACTCTAAGTTATCAGAGCGATATGCAACAGAAATGACCAAAATTGTCACTCTGTTAAAATTTTATAGCCTCATGAGCAGATATTCCTACAAACCTAAAAAATAAACCATTTTAAAAGCTAAATTAACAAGCGCTAATACAAGATGTACAAGATGTGATCATAGCATAAAATACAAATGGCTATTGATAAAATCAGTATAACTTAACTATAACTTGTATCAATCAGTTATTGTCGTTTCTTCATTTGACAACTTTTAAGCACCCGTCATGTCACTAAAGCTTCACTTAGATTTTCTTCGAAAAATTACCCAATTTTGGTGCAATTCCTACGAGAACCTAATTTCTCAGTTGAAATTTGAATCTAACCCTAATTTTTCTTGTACAATAATTTAAATAGACTTTTTACAATTTATTAAATTATTATTAATAGCGCTTTTAAAGAAAGATTTTTTTAATTTCAAGGTGTTTTGTACACTTTAATATGGTCTACATTTAATGATATAAATTATTTCATTAAGCATTTGCATCAACAATAATTCAATGCCTTATGCTTTTGTACATGAGTGTATTTCACCATTTCTGCTGCTCCAATTTAAAATTAAATTTTTACTTCCAGGCCTTTAATGTTTTTGGTTTTTATTCACATGTTATATCATTAAGCAAATGGCCTTTTGGCGTTTTAAATTCATGATACATTTACAAGAAACATTTACATTTCTGATTAACGTTGATATAATAGCTGAATAATGGAAAACTCTGTTATTTTGTAGCAGTAAGCGACTTGTAACAAGCATCATCAGGCCAATGAAAATTTTCATTTCCAGGAAATAAATTTAGTTGCTGAGTTATTCTCGTTTAAAATCATTCTTAAGAGCTGAATAATCCTATGTATTCAACTTTAATAATCGATTGTCGAACTTTAACTAAAAGAAAACATTCAATGACTTCATTGAGTACTTGATAACGAATTCTCGACAAATTCAAATGTAATTTTTAAACTGTAACTATTCAAATTGCATTAAATGTATTGTAAAAAGTAAAGCTTAATGATAACAGTTGCGAAAAGAAAGGCCAAAAAAGTTTCCGACGAGCCGGAGTCGAACCAGCGACCTAAGGATCACTATTGAACATCTACAGTCCTCCGCTCTACCAACTGAGCTATCGTCGGTTAATGAGAAAGAGGTGCAAATTACAGTTAATAAACTTCATTTTTAGATGCGCTGTTAGATTTTAATCTTTACCGGTTTAGCTTAAAACAGGATTGGAGGAATCCATTTATCTATCCTGTTTTAGATGGAAATGATGATTAAAGATTATTATGATGTTCTGATTGTGATCAATATAATTGTTGGATATCGATCTTTTGGCTTCTTCATCTTTACAATTTTCGGACCGGAATTTTGGAAGGACGAAACTTTCAATTGACCTAATTTGTTGATATTTTAGTATCAGTACCAGGTTATACAATTTTAAGCTGCTATAGTGAAAATGTTGGATTATTTGAAATAAAGTCGATTCTGATTGTAAAGCTAACAGAGCAACCGATCATTTTTTAAATGTTTTTAATGTGTTATAATGAAATGTGATCCTTAATATAAAAATGAATAGAGCTGGAATGTTTGCTATTCAATTGATTAACCACACTAATGGTAAAGATTGTTGAGATTAGTCAAGTGAAAATTGAAAATAGATTCAGCGTTTCATTTTGCATGGAGTTTTAATTTTCAAAGGTAATTTGATTGGTGAGCTGTGATAGCATTTTTGTGTTTTGTTAAAGGTTAATTAATTGACAAATTGTATAATAAAAATGTCAATTTGTGAAATTGCTTTGATAGTTGGTTAATATATGAAAGATAAACATAATTTCTTTGCTTTTCTTTTTGCTAAGTTAGTGACTGTTTTAGTTAGGAAGTTAGAATAACAAAAGAAAAGCAAGTTTATAAATCTTAGAGGGAAGATTTGCCTGTGTTTCATCTGATAAAACGTTCTCAGATTAAACTGAGTCTCGTTCATCATTGTTACATCGATTCTCTAATAAATCTTAAATTAATTCACTACAAGTTGAAATTAGAAGATTTAACTTGAAGCTTGTAAATGAGCTGGTTAAATGGACAATTTTACAATTTTGTGATCACTATAAAAGTACCATAAGTAGTTAACAAAAGCTTTCATAAGTGAAAACTTTATGATGATTGTCTATGTTAAAAAAAGAAATGGATAAAAATTAGTGAGGTAAATTAAGGGATAATCCTTGTTATGGTAATGTTGATTTCAAAAAATAACTTTGGACGGAGAAGACTAAGTAGCTTTGCGAATTGTAACTTTCTTTGTCTTTGGAAGGTTGGAAGATAACTGGATAACTTGATAATAGTTAAAAATGCTCAAACCCAAACTCCGTGAGGGTTTTTACTGGTAGCAACAGCATTTTTCAGCTCTCGAGGAGGGACAAACATTTTCCTTGTGCTACCGGGTCTTTGTTGTTTAGTTTGGAATGAATTTCTGTAAAAGATAAAAAAATGACGATTTAATCCTTAATTTTGAGAGTTATGTATAAAACAAAATACCTGGCATCAGGATTGATGATAACATGGCTTTGGGAAGTCTTCATTTGTGGGAGATTTTTAGAAAAAAGCTCGTCTCTAGGCAATAAACTTAGACCTTGTAAATTTGCTTCCTTCAAATCTTGTAAAATTTTTTCGATCTTTTTAATTCGCTCTTTAAGCATTTCATCAGATTCTTTTAGTTCCTCATCAACCATCCTTAATTGTTCGGACTAGAGAATAGAAAAAAGTTTTTGGTCAAAATATTAAAATAATTTATATGGTGAAAGAAAATACCTGACGTTCAAATTCAATTGATTTTTCTTTGGTCATTTCTATTAGTTGTGTTTTTATTTTTGTTTCCTCTCTTCGCTTTAACAATTCCTCCTCTTCTTTTTGAAGGTTCAATTCTGTGAGAAGAGCAAGTGAGTACAGTTAAGACAAGATTCATAAAAAATAAATTTATAAAGTGAAAATAAACTTACGATTTATTTGGTCCATCAATTGTTCAATACTTTGTCGACAGTCAGAAATTTGATTCTCTATTTCGGACAACTGAGTTCTCAATTTATTTTCGTCAACTTCAATAGCTTTAGGTTCCATGTCAAATCTAGTAAGCTCGTTGGTATCATTGAGTTCATCTGATTCGACATTGATCATTGATTCTCGTTGAATCTCGGATAGTCTATCGAGTCTTCGAGAGTCATTTAGAACATCTTGTCTTTGTCGGGGATTGAGAGATCGAAATTTAGAGGCCCAATAATTGTTTGAGGAATTGGTCTCGAGGATTTGGCGATTACTGGCATTTAACGTTTCTTTCTGTAAACTGGACAATTTGACATCGTTTATTTTAATTTCATCATGACGATATGGTTGTTTGTTTCTAGCTTCCTCAGAGTTTCGACTACTTTTAACCATGCTTTGGCTTTCTTCTTGATCTTCGCAGTTTGATCGATTAATTCCTTTGGAGCATATTGACGAGTTTCCAGCTTCTCCTTGTAACCAGTGCACACCAGAGGCTTCTGGACTAGCTTCAACAGGATCTAGTTATAATAAAGTAAACGATAGTGATTCTAAGCTTCTTTTAAAACTCTAAAAAACTGTACCTGAAGGTGAAGATCTTAATAACGCACTTTTAGTAATGGCTTCATAGTAAGGAGGTGGATGCTTTGGTCTTTTCATGAGAGCTTGATTAGTACCATAATCCGATTCAATATCTACCGGGGATTCTTGTGAAATACCACTCTGATTTAGTGGGATTGATTGACTAGAAGATTTACTGGGCATGTTGATTAACTTTTCTTCTTGATAATAAACATGTTTTCGAGGTATACATGTACCATAATGATCTTGATTTTCACTGATTAAATTTGTTGGCTTTAAATGATTACTTTCTACACGATTGCCTTGATTAACTTTACTCGCAAGCAAATTAGGATCATTCGGTTGGTACTGCCGTGGTTGTTGTTGTCTTAATTGATGTTGTAACTGTAAATTATGATTAGCAGAGCTTTGTAACTTAGTAGATGAATCAGCCAATGGTTGATCACATCTTTTCATAATGAACATAACATCCGAGGCATATTCTCCCCACTGACTTAGCAATTTAATTGGATAATCATTAGGATTCAGAAGTCTTTCATTGTTTCGCCATCTCTCAACCAAAATAAATTTTCCAAATTGCTGAGTTGCTTGAGCCAAACATAAAACAATATCTTTACATGTGGTTTCAAGGGTGACACCGGAAACTATACGTTGAATACCATCCAAATAAACTCGGAAATCCATGGCACGTTAAAATTAAATAGAATCAGTAAAAATTAATTAAAATAAATTGAAAACATACATTTTGTCTAGAATTTAAAAGAAATTTGAGAAAAGAAAGAGAGTTTCTATATCTAAAGACTTACACAGTTACATTGTATTACTTTAGTCTTTACTTTATGTAAGGGGTTTTATAGTAATAAAATTTAGGGATGAATAAAGGAGACAAAAACATATCAAGCCAATGATTACTATACATATATTATTTAATTTGATTTAATATATTTAACTTTACAAGTGTTAACGATAAAGGGAGATAAAGGGGTCAAATGAAGAGCAAATATGAAAAATTCATGGTGTGTATCACCTCAAGTCAAATAATAATGCATGTATTTATAAACAATCAAAATGCTATTTGGGGTAAGTTAAGCTATCGATGGTAGCAAAAAATCGACGTAACAATGAGAACTCTGTTTTAGATCAAATAATTTGAAAAAAAAGAAATAAATTGATAAAGACTTTGTACATTAAATGAAAGTTGGGATAAGAGAAAACACATTTGATGATGTTGATTTGATATAAAGCAAATAGACAGATTTCAAAGTGACTTATGATTGCATTGATTTCTGTTGATGACTTGATGTTTTGTTTTGGTACAATTGACTGCAATAGAACATCAAAGAAAAGTAAATCAAGTTCAAATGAATTACATTAAGCGGCATAAAAGGAACCAGAAGAGTGGAAATCCGAGGATGCCTTTTGTTTTTGTTCCTAGCTTATGGTCTTGTAGTTACCAATAGAATTTATCCGTATCACATAAAGAAGATTTTGATTGTTAAGTAATTAATAAAGCAGCTTCTTATTCACCGATCCTTCTCTTGAAACTTCTCCGCCTTCTTTCATTTTTTTGTTCTTTTTCGCTTTAAAGTGTTGAAATTAAATTACTTAAACTACAGAGTCTTTATAAATGACAAAATCAGTTCCACCAGGATGATAAACACTGGAGTGAATCTTGAACAGAAAAGGTGTTTAAAAGAAGAGTAAGTGGAAACCCTTTTTCTTTCTCTCTGCCAAGGACAATAACATTGTCTAACTTTTATGAAAATGAAAGCAGCCAAAAGAAACAAAAAGAGAAGTCGAGGTTGTCGTGCTTTATGCGTGAATGTTTTTTCTGTGTTGATACAAAATTGATGATCATTTGACAACTCCCTAGAACCATTTTTGTATCTCTCTATGTAACTTGGAACCTGTTTCCCACTCAATGGACTGAAAGGAAATCAGAGAATAGAAAGTTTGTAGATCAGGTATCGTTTAATGATGAATGAAACATTGATGTCATTCCTGTTTGCTTTGAAAATTTGTGACTTTGAAAATGATGAAGATGGTGAAGATTGCGAATTTGAAACTCAATTCAATAAACAATTTGAATAGCGAATTTTCGTAATTCTTAGTATGTCGTTCGATAGCAGCTACTTAAACTTAGGTATGGTTTATAACCAAACCAGATGGAAAAGAGCAAAAATTTAGACTCATGTGGCTCTTTTCAGTTTTAATTCAACTGGTTTAGTATTATGGATAATTTTGCTTTTGTAATCAGTAAAAAATAATTTACAATCCAAATCTTTTCATATCTGCTAAAGGTGGATAAGGTCTTCTTGGCCAAACTTTGTTTTTCTTAAGGCTTTCTCCATCTTTTAACAGTTTTTCCATCTTGAGTAGATATGGATAAATGTTTTGTTCAATCCATTCATTTACAGTATATTCATCAAACGCTTCTCTCAAAGATGATGAAGCTGCTCTCAAAGCTGAAGTCAATAGATAATGAACATTACTGTGTTGTTCCAATCCTTCGTCTACTCGGTAAGGATTGGAAACATTATGACGAATATTATAATCTGTCAACCAAGCTTTGTGTATGGTTACATCGTAAATATAATCATTAACGCGTTTGACAGCCTCAGCGACAGATTGGGTCATGCGAAAAATGGATGATCCTGGAAACATACAGCTTGAAGCTTTGTTATAAAGATAGGGATCAGATTCAAAATCAACAGCACCATTAGAATTACCACCAATATTGCTATCTTCACGGTAGCCATACTGTCCAATGGAAGATGAAGATGAACAATGCATTATTTTATCGAATTCTTTGAAAACTTTGGATGAATCGTAATGACCATCGCGAAGAGTGATGAGATCAACAATGAGTGAGGGTAAACCGGAGGGTAAAAGTTCACACAGAGTGCCTAAATGATCGTATCTCTGCCAACCAGTGACTGCAATTCCTCTTATGGATTTAAAATGGCCCTGTTGCTCGGCCATAACTTCCAACCAACCTTGATTATTTTCCAGGTGCATTTTAACATTGGGTACAGTTAGGGTCTCACCAAAGGCACCCTTGAAGGCACTTGCAGCCCATACATTTTCAAAGATATCAGCAAAATAGGAAAATGTTGGGTACGGGATAAAGCGATAAATATCTTTGACATATGTCCATATCATGGGTTCAACAAGTGAACCAATTTTACTCTCTTTCAAACGTTCGGGCAAAATGTTTCTCAGCATATCATCCCAAACAATTGGGATCACTCGATGTTTTTCTTTCACGTATTTGGCAACTTTAATTACATGATCAAGGAATAATGTATCTCGTTCGGTGTTTCGACACCTTTCGCAATAACCAATCTGAAATACTTCATCACAACCAATATGGAGCCACTTTGCATTCGGGTGAGCAGACATTATTTGGTCTATCATGTGCTGGATAAGAACGAAAGATTCATTTTGTGAAGGACACAAAGCCATTGGATAAGGATCGTACTCTCTGAGATGACGGAATTTACTTAATTTGAGAACAAATTCCATGTGACCAAAAGCTGGGACCAATGGTATCACTTCTAGGCCATGCTCTTCTGCTGAGCTGAGTAGCAAAGCTATTTCTGATTTGGTATAAGCATTGGCTGCTGGTATATCACTCAAATAATTCTCATAGGGAAACATGTCTTCATATTCAATGAGAATCCCATTAGCTCCTGCTTCTTTGATTATCGGGAGTATTGACTTGAGATAACTAATCTTTGGTGGGGCTCCTTTCAGGTCAAAATGGACAAGTCTGAAAGGAGGAACATAGTACGGATTTTTTTCTTTGGGCGATTCTTGATTATTTTTTCTTTTTTCATTTGAATTGAAAAAATTGGCAAATTTTTTACCAAACAAAGGTTCATATGGTGCTGGTGAGATGTATTGCTTCTTATCCGCAGAGTCATATGACAACCGACCAGAATTTTTATCATTATATTGACTATCATCGTTAAGTTTATGATTGCTATTGCTTCTATCAAGACCTAGAGCAGAAAGATTTCTCCTCGGTAATGATGCACCATCTTTAAGGTCGACGTTCCTTCCATTTCTGAGCGAATGGTCACTAGAATGATAGTCTTTTCTTTTATCCCTTGATTCGGTTACACTATTGTACTGTAATGCAATTATTGTGAACGAGGTAACCATTACAATTGCCAAAAGTAATGGTTTCCTCTTCCAAAGAGAGGTAAACATATAAAAACAGATCGGTCTGATAGACCGCATTGAAAAAATTAGACACCAAGCTGATTCCTGGAGTCCTTTACACAACAATTATAATAATCCAGTGGTAGGGAATGAGTTTCTATGATGTCTGTATCTCAATGAAGTTGATGAGCCAAATTCGACTGCTTTATAAAACCCACTTCAAGTAGATCACATCTGGACGAATATTGGTCCTTAGATGACACTTTGATAGATTAACAGAAAAAAAATAAATACAATATATTAATCAAATCCTTGAATTCATCAACAAAATTATAAGCCAAGAAAACAAACACAAGACTATAGTTACCTATACTGTATATCTGTTCGGTGACCGTTGCTGTTGTAATTGATTGTTCCTTTTGATGTCACAGTTGTTATAGCACTAGCTGTTGATAACGTGGATGTTAAAATTCAAGAATGTTATCTTAAACAAAGAAAACTTAAACGATAAAAATTGTTGATTTCAAACATTTTAGCAAGCAAAATGACAGACAAACAGCAGACAATAGCAGAAAATAATGAAAAATTGCGTTGTGTTTCTTTGAGTGACTGATAATACAAATGAACACACAGCTGTTTAATTTTTATCATTAATTATAATAATAAATTGAGGTAAAGAATCAATAAACTGGATGGTTGATTAAATTAATGTTGAAGGAAACAATAATACATATGCAATACAATGTACAATGTGATAATCACAATCAAAACACAGACCAAATAGTGTCAAAATTGTAGTCTCAAAAAGAGTAGGATTGATCTCACTGCTCACTGCTCACTCTTCCTCTCCTCTTCTTCTGCCTTCTTCTCTTACTATTCCTTCCAATTCACCTGATACCAAAGAATAGTGAAATTACTCTTGAAATATATTAATTTGTGTTTGTTATTAGCAAATAATTTAATGCTTCGTATATCCAGTGACTCTATCCTCAGGTTGATTTTTCAACACCGTGGGTTGATAACAAAATAGGATATAAGAAATGGATTGAAGGCTTTGAAACCAGAATTGACAAAAAGCGAAATATCCAAACAAAAATTTTTAAAAAAAGCTATCAATAGTTCACATCCAAATCCTTTCCATTCTTTCACCTCCTTTTTCAAGTAGTTGAAGCAATTTTACTTATTAATTTTGATCAACCCAAAAAGAGGTTAATAGACTCCATTTTTAATTCAGTCTTCGTTTTGTTTCTGATCTTATTAACGGTTTCTTTGAACGCCTTCTCCTGACTTTCGGTCACTAAAATGTTTCATCGTGTTGTCAACATCCATTTTCATACCCAAAAATTCCTACCATTGGTGATTAGCCCTCGTTTGCCTTGATTAGGCTCTAGTTAAATATTATCAAAACAATCAACAGATTGAAAAATACAAGTTTGAATAAGCAGCCATGTCAATCTTAATGAAAGAAGTAAAAACCTTCTAAAATGCAATAAATCATTTGAAACCTTTTTTACAGTCACAAGTGTAAAAGTAAAATCAACAAAGTCTATTTTATTTCCTGTGATATTATTATACACAATGAATTATCAGTATTATTTACAATTTATCACCTGAAACCCTGATTCAGTAAATACGTTTACTGAGCAAGTTAGATGTAAGAGTTGTAGACAATCTCCAGTATCTAAAGTAATCAACCTTTTATCCAGCAACATTACTTCAAATATTGAATTAACATATTACACTTTAATATAACTTATTTTTATTTTACAATCTGACTTATCAAGTTGAGGGGAAATCAGGTCAAAGATCAGGATCAGCATCAGTCAAACAAATCAAAAACACGCATTTACGAAGCTATACACTTCAGCCTTGTTCATTTTGTTGTGTATTTCAATTCAACTTCAACGTTTTGTATACAATCAATTATTCCTTATATTACATTATAATACAAGCTTAAAGTGAAAGTCATTTAAATTGTAAAAAGCAATGGTAATAAAACGTTATTGTTTTGTTTGCTTAATGGTATACAATATGTTCCCATGTTAAATAGCTATTGGAAATCAATTTAACATGAACATTGATCACACAAAGGATCCAGTAATGAATTATTATTCACTCTTCGCCATATTCATTGTTTTACCATTTCAATTCAAGTTTAAATAAAAATATGGGTTCATGTTATAAAAGAATAGGCATGAATTCAAATTGAAAAGTAAGTCTTTTATTTTATTTTATCAAGTTAATTACAAAATGCTTTTCTATGAATTCATAAAATCTCAAAGGTTTCAACCTTTCGATTCTGTTACCATAAAAAACTGTAATATTTTAAAAATATGATATTTATCTGCATTTACTCAGTTACCATCTTCAGATTGAAGAGTTTACTTTCATATTGATATTCACATAAGATATCGCTTGGCAACAATCAATGAAATTCAGATCGAAGCATCTTCTGTACATTTTTGCTTGCATTTTACTAAATTAATTTACAATCAATCTGGTTTCAATCAACTTGTATTCCTAGCGCAATGCATTATCATTGGGTGTCTAATACGTTAAGAACAATTTATGCCTTTTGGACTTCAGCTAAAGTCTAGCGTTGAAGTCAACCTGAGATTGTAAATCCTAATTCAGATCATAATTTGATAAATCAATTAGCTAATGATTCCGTTTTTATAGAATCCAAGTTCATTTCGATTGTACAATGTAATGTAACATTGAAATAATATAAATATCAAAACCATCTTGATCAAGCAAAAAAGTCTAGACAAAAGTCTGAGTTACTAAACTAAATTGGCCTTTACTTTCAATGTCTAATTTTAAATTTTTATTAGAATTGAGACTCGTCCATAAGTTTGATTAGACATGAATATACACGTAAAATCTAAACGTCTATATTAGAAGTTCTAGTTTCATTAAATGGGAATCTATAAATTGTCATGTGATATTTGCTTTTAATAAGTTAAAAACATTTGTTAGAGTGTTGAATCAGATTACAAATAGATTTGATTCAAGAGAGAATAGTGCATCGTGAAGTTGAAACAAGAAACTTGGAAAAAACTTGACCGAAAAACTGTTTTAATCTTTTTGCAGGGCATTTACAGGGTGAACTTGGAAAGCATATGTTTTTATATTAAGCAAAATAATAACAACGTTGCCAACGCCATCTGTTCTCCTGTTGAAATTCAACAGTTGAATGGGCTGTGAAATTTTTAATTAATTTTAGGGTCTAGATATCATGAAGTTTATCTAATTCTGAGAGCTGTTTATCAAATGTTAAATTTTTATTCAGTGCATCCAACTGAACATTACTTTAGTATTGGATCATCGTATTTATTTAGATTAAATATATTTTAGGGTTTTAGTTATTTTATTTATCCTAAATGACTTCAACTTGACTTGGTTACACTTGGACCTTCATTCAATCTTTCACCTGAACCATGGCTATTCTCTGTGTTAATCTCTTCTACAAGGTGCTTATTGACTGTTCCTTGGCAATTCTCGGTAAGTAATCCTTTTTCTTATCTACATTTTGATATTTCAACAATTAATTGATTTTATTATTTACACTGACAGCTTTCTTGCCTTATCTAATAACTCAATTTGGTAGAACGCCTTATCGTCGAGGTTTCTTTTGTGATGATGAATCCATCCGCTATCCAGACAAACCTGAAACTGTTGGTCAAACAGAGCTTTATTTAGTGTCCATTCCTCTAGTGCTTATAATTGTAAGTTGCAACATTATCTTTAAAAAAGAAACCATAGCAATAACTTGACTAATTACTGATCTCTGATGGTCGAAAGGTTCTTGTTACAGAGTATACCAGACTACCATCAATGGTTCGAGGGAAACAAGCACTGCAACAGTGCTTACTTACGAGTTACCATGTTTGCATTTTCTTTGTCTTTGGAGCCGTTTCAATTCTTTCATTAGTCTCAGTGGCAAAGTATACTGTTGGACGATTGAGACCAAATTTCATAGAAGCTTGTAAACCTAATATTTCCTGTGCAGATCGAGATCCACATGAGTACATAGAAAACTACACCTGTCAAAACGAAGTCGATGATTTAAGAATGTCCTTTTTCTCTGGTCATTCATCATGGTCCGCTTTTTGTGCTGTTTTCATTGCGGTATTTAACTTTCCAATTCAATTATCATGCTTATGTTCCAGTATTTTATACTAGTCATTGATTATTTCTCATTTATACAGATGTATCTTCAAGCCAGAGTTCGTTCACCAAAATTGGTACTCTTTAAGTCGCTATTGCAGTCATTAGTTTTTTACTTGGCATTTTATACAGCCTTAACAAGAATCTCAGATTACAAACATCATCCTTCGGACGTCGCAACTGGTCTATTTTTGGGCGCATTAGCCGCCTATCTGACCATTACCTGGGCTGCAGGTGGTTTGAAATTGACAACTTGGGGCTGTTTAATGTCGCGACAGAATTCCGAGGATAATTCACTTCTTCAAGAAAATAACCAAATCTCATACGAGTCAATTGAATCTGAAAACAGAGAATAAATGCTAGTCGAAAAACAGTAATTTTTAATCTTGATTCAGCTTCTTGATTATCATGCAAAAAGGTACTGTTTTTTGTATTTTAATAATTTGTGTTAAATAAAATCAAGCGAAAAGTCCTCTAAATAATCATTTACAAATTAAATTAAATATAAATAACTATAGCCCGTATAAGAGTTGTTTAATTGATAATTTTTTTAACAATGGGAATAAGGGAGTAACAAAGATCCGACGATTATAATCTGTTTCATCTTACTGAGTTCCTTTCTTATCAACATGAATTTCCTATTTTATATGAATAGATGAATAGCTATTTAACTAGTAAGAGTGGATGAAAGGAAATTTAAACGATGATTACAGTACTATCGGACGCCCATTTGAAGCATAATAGTTGTAGTTGCATAGATGATTTGAAACGATTCAAAATTTTTAAGATTAACTTTTGATCTGAAGAAGACGAGACAGGTCTTAAACGTGAACGAGCCATCTTCAAAAGTTTATCAGTTTTTGGAGTTTCAAAATGTTCGGGATCAGAGAAGACATATTCCAAGGCTGTTAAATCAACTTGAGCGTGAATATTTCCAGCATCTGTTAAACGGTCGGACACTGATTGGAATAAAGTAGCTATTTCTTCCAAAGTTGCTTCTATTATTTGGCTGACCATTTTACGCACCAAGGATGGAGCAACGAGAAAAATTTTTGCTTGAACTTCGATGATCAAACCAATAACTTCTTTTATGTAGTAATTGACTTCAGATGGTTTACTTGTTCCAGTGTACCATTCATTTGCAACAGTATACATTGAAGGTTTCAAACCATTTATCACCAAATCACATTTATTATCAACAAATGATGAAGATAATTTATTTTCCAAGTCTCGATACTTGTTCTGGATAACTTTGATAACCATCGTCATATCGGGATAGTTGTATTTTTCAAAACTTTCATGTAATCTTGGCATCACTTGATTAGTTGTAAAACTGCAATTGCAAATAACAACTAAGCATCTGTCTTCTTCGTCAATTGTCCTTTCTTTGTCACTTGGAGAAGGAGGTGATACGGGATTTTTGTAAGTCTTTTCTAAGGCTAATAGAAAAGCTTGTAATAAATTTTGTGCAAGTTGTTTCATCCGACCCTGAACATTAATTTTGCTAAAGATGTCAACTTCCTCATGTGTAGTGGTTTGCAGGATATTTTCTCGAACTAGTTGCAATATTTCAATAACTTTAGCTTCAAATAAAAGAGGAAGTTGAGTTCGAGTACCTGAAGAATCATCAGAAACAATTTCCCAATTTTCTTTAGTAGAAAGTTGTTTAACTTCTTCAGCTGCTTGGTTAAATAGAGATACTAAGGAATGAACTCTGAGATCGGTGATTAATTGTTGAATAGGTTGATAAACAACCGGTTGAAGATCGTTTCTCGTCAGGTCTCTGTAAAAGTTACTGCAAACTCTTAAACATCTAGGAAGCCAAACAAAAAAGCTCTCATCGGCTGCACTAGCTGGCCAAGTTTCATAGTCAGGTCCGAGGCTGATGATGGATCCAGGGAGAAGTGCGCTTCTTATAAGATTAACGGCAAGTAAAATAGGTTTTTGAACCATTTCAGTATTGAAATTTGTCTCTTTCAGTTCCAATTCTCTTTGTGACTCTTTGGTATTAAAATCTCCATCCAAATAAGCAGTACCTAGTTTGACTAGATCTGCGAATGATGTAGTAAAAATTGTGGTTAACTCTTCAATAAATTGAATGATCGGAGGACCTTGAACATCAGAATCGCCATCCGACAGGAAATTAGGTGAATCTTTTGAGATTATCTGTGGTAACTTTGACATCTCAACATATTTACAATGGCACTCTTTCATCTCGGATAATAATGTTTCTTTGATTTTTACAATTGAATCCCATGCAGGATTACCTGGGGCTTCCAAGCTCAGCAAATATTGAATAAGTTTTTTGATTTCATCAATATTTCGATTTTCATGGTTTAGACATCCTTTATTAAGTAAATCTTGTAACTTTTCTCTGAATTTAATAATTCTTTGTTCCACTTCAGAGAAAACCCGCTTGAACACACTGACTTGGGTGTCTGCAAAGTGCGCCTTAGCTCGATTGTAATCACTAATCAGAAGTTCATATTCTCCATTTGTTATATTGCGTTCAATTGTAGCAGGCAAGTTGAATAGAAAACGATAACGTTGTAAAACATTCAAAGCATTCCTTGTTGAATCAGCAAGATCTTTACGAGCTAATACAGAATCGAAAATTATATGAGCTTCAGAAAGAGATTTCTTAATCAATTCTTCAACTTTATATGTAAGATCTGAACCCATTTCTTGTTTATGTTTCTTTAGATTGATGTGAACAGTTTTCAAAGCATCCAAACATTCAATGATAGCTAAAACATTTGGCTTAAGTAATTGCAATGGACCAAGACTAGATGTTGATGGAGTTCTTTGATTAACTCGCGCTTTTAATCGATCCAAACCAGTAACCAGATCGTCAAAAGAAGCAGTACTATGGTTCTCAAGAAGATACCAAACTGGAATGAAATCATGGGAGAAGGCATTGCCAAATCCTTTTTCACTTTTATCCTGACTAAGAGCTTCCGGGAAGAATTGGCGAATAACATTTTCTCCTAATGCACTTTTAACAGCTTCAGTTCCTTCTGGAAGCAGCCCAAGAGGATCAGATGCATAAAGTCCAGGAGAAGTTGTACTACCTAAACCATGATTTGCTTTACCTAAACTGAAATAATCTTCTTCATTGATCCAAACCGAACAATCTTTAGTTGGACTAACTATGTCGGGTAAACCACGGAATTGAACCGTACAAGTACCAGTTCCACCGGAGATAGTTGTAATAATGACATCACCTAACCCATCACATTTTCCACTTCTTGTCAAGATTTTGCTATTATTTATCCATTCGACATACATTAAGCAATTAACGCCACATATGGTCAATTCAATTAAATCATCTGCATTTCTTCCGAAATTTTCTCCTCTGATGATAATTTTTGTACCGGGAACTCCCTCCTTAGGTGATAGGCCTGTCACTTTTGGCCGTAAATTTGTTCGAGAACTGTCAGAAGAAATACTCATGATGCTGGGAATCAGCCAATGAGACTCAGATCAACAAGTTTAACCAAAATATCAAAATATGATGAGTCACACTAAAAAATTTAATTTAATTAGACAATTTACACGTAAAAAAATTAAAATTAATCAAGAAATAAACAACAATCAATGAAAACAATACACGCCTCAATCAAATTTCAGCTGATATTTACGGCTGCAGATTAACGCCATCTATCATGTTGAATTGACTTAAGAAAGCTGAAACCAGATTATTTTATTGTCCTTTCATTTGATTATCATTGGTATTGATTGTAAGCACAATCATGATGATCATGAGCAACTTAGTTAACTTTAGATTTGCAAATTCAGTGTCAGAAAATTGAAACAACGAAAGTTTCAGAAAACTTTCTTAAAATGAACATTGTATCGATACAATGATATCTTCAAGATAAATGGGGATTGTCGTTTTAAAAAGCATGATAGTGATAAATTGATCATTTTTTTCATTCCTTATTCTTGATTTCCGTTTGAGATATTCATGAAAAATTGGTTTTATTCAGTTTATCTCGAAATAACTTATTGTGACAATTTATCAAAGCGAAAGACTTTTTCTTCTATCTTTTCGGACTCATTCATTTTGATCGAGTCTTGAAATATCCAGATACCATCTGATTCAGCATTTTAGTTCTTTCATTTCAAACCGTTCACTGTTTTGACTTTTTTGTGCAACTCTTACTAGTAATTAATTGACTAAATTGGATCAACATGTCTATCGAAAGTTATAATGGTGGTGCTGTAATGGCCATGGCTGGTAAAGAGTGCTTAGCTGTTGTTTGTGACAAAAGGCTAGGAGCTCGTTTAACCACTATCGGCATGAATCATAGCAAGATTTATGAAATTAACCCTTACCTCTATGTGTGCCTTCCTGGTTTGGCTACTGATGCATTAACCGTTTACCAGCGATTAAGATTCCGTGTTAATATGTATGAACTCAAGGAAAGTCGTAAAATTTCTCCGCAAGTTCTTTGTTCTATGCTTTCTAACTTATTGTACGAGCACCGGTTTGGTAATTACTTTATTGGTGGTGTTGTTGCAGGATTAGGTATGTTATTTTAACTTTTGTAATTTTGTCTCACTATGTCATTAATTATCTTTCACATATCTATTTTTAGACCCAGCTACTGGTAAAACATATCTTTACGCTATGGACTGTTTAGGTGCTATAACTATCGGAACAGAAGGTTTTGTTACTGGTGGTCACTGCGAAGAACAATTATATGGTACTTGCGAAGCTCTTTACCGGCCAGATTTAGGACCTGAAGAATTACTTGAAGTAGCTTCCCAAGCCTTTCTTTCTGCATGTGACAGAGACGCTGGATCAGGTTGGGGAGCCTTTGTATACATCGTCACCAAGAATAAAGTTGAACTTAAATCTTTAAAGGCCAGGATGGACTAGTTCATAATAAGATCAAACAGGCTTTTTGTATTCTCACGTTCACTTTTTTTCTCTACTAATATGGAATAAATTTGCGAAAAAAGGAAATATTCCGAATTTTATTTCTTAAAAATGAGTAAATATTGTCAAAAAGTTCTAACCAAACACTCCAAATCTGATTCGATCATGACTAAAAATGGTCGCTTCAGAGCTCAGAAATGCTTAAAGATTAATGATCGCTTTCTTTCGACTTCAAATTGTCATTTTATGTGATGACCATTTCATAATTTTCATTTTCTTCTGTATTTATGCTGAATACAATGTGAAAATCGCTTTAAACTACATTTGAAATTTTCGTAGGAATTACTCACTTTCATTGAATGCAAAGCAAAATTGGATAATTCAATTGGTAGCGTATAACTTAATGATGGCCATTTTTTGATTAACGAAGCTGGATGTAATTTCAATGAGAATTTTAGAAAGTTTGATAATTTTTTGCTAATTAAAAATTGCAAGATAATGGCCTGGAGGTCATTTTAAGTAATTTGAATGAAAAAAGCTTACATTACAATCGAAATATAATTTGTAAATATAAATTAAAAAGAGCCGAAAGATTAACTGTTAAACAGCAGCAAAATCATTGGACAATCTCTTGAAAAATCTCCATTTCTTTTGATGTGCTGCAGTTATTATAAGACCCCTGAAATATCAAAACAGAGTCTGTTGAACAACATTAGTAACAAACAAGTTACACTTTGTGTTTAAACAAGAATTATGATATTTTAATAAGATTGTCTCGACAAATCAAATTTCTACAAAATGGTGAGTTTTTAGGATCATTAATCCTCAAATTTTTGAAAAATTTTCTTAATAATCCTATTTAATTAACTAATCTTCGTTGAAAACCGCATTTCATTTATAAACATGGAATCATCTGTCTTAAAACCTTTACTTGTTTGATTAACGCCTCCGTTTTGACAAATTGTACCTGTTTTTATATTTAATATAAAATGCTTGTCATTTGTCATTGACTTTTTAAACCGATCTTTTTAAATTCACTAATTTTCTCCTTTTTGTTTAATTATAGAGTTTCCTTACATTCCGATCTGGAGCTGATATTGATATCATACTGGATGGAGCCGAGAACAGGAAATTGGCTGAGATAAAGTCAGAGGATGGCAAAAAGGACAGGTATTACCTTTATTATGATGGTGAAACTGTTTCAGGAAAGGTAAATTACTTATTCATCAATGCCATAGAGAGACTCTAGCATGTTTTTATACATTTATGACAGGTTAACATTACATTAAAAAAGCCTGGAACCAAGTTAGACCACTTAGGAATCAAGGTTGAATTTATCGGCGAAATAGAGTTATATGCTGATAGAGGTAATCACCATGAATTCAGCTCTCTTGTTAAAGATTTGGCTCGACCAGGTGATTTGATACAAAATACTAGTTATTCTTTTGAATTCGTCAACGTTGAAAAGCCATATGAATCCTATACTGGAACTAATGTTCGTTTAAGGTGAGTAAGCTCATAATAATGTCTTAGCAGTATTTTAATTTCCTGTTCATATTATTCATATTTCTATATAGATATTTTATTCGTGTAACCATTGTAAGAAGATTATCGGATATAATCAAAGAGATGGATATAATTGTTCATACGTTAGCATCATATCCAGAGGTTAATTCTCCTATTAAGATGGAAGTTGGTATCGAAGAATGTTTACACATTGAATTTGAATACAATAAATCCAAGTAAGCTCAAATAAATTTATTCATCATGATGATTAAATTAATTAATCCACTTATTTCAACAGGTACCACTTGAAAGATGTGATTGTGGGTAAAATATACTTTCTCTTAGTGAGAATCAAAATCAAACATATGGAGATTGCAATCATTAAAAAAGAGTCGACTGGAATCGGCCAAAATACCTTTAATGAAAATGAAACCATTGCTAAATATGAAATAATGGACGGTGCTCCTGTTCGTGGTGAATCCATTCCTTTGCGGTTATTCCTAGCTGGTTACGAGCTAACTCCAACAATGAAAGATATTAACAAAAAATTTTCAGTTCGCTATTTTCTCAACTTAGTGCTCGTCGATGAGGAGGAGCGAAGATATTTCAAGCAGCAAGAAATTATTTTATGGCGTAAAGGAGAGAAAACTCGTAAACAAATCCAATCACAGGCTCCTCAGTCCAGTGAAGTTAAATGATTCTCATTTTTCCCAGCAAAATTAATCAATTTATCTATTTCCCCTGTCTATCACATTTTTTGGCTTTTTGTCACCTTTTTCTCTTCCGTCGATCATGAAACAACATGGGATAGAATTATAAGCTAATTTAGAACTTTATCAAATGGATATTTCTTTCTTTGAATATTTGTTGTCTTGTTTTTAGGACATCACTGTTACAAAGAGTTTTGGTGATTCCATGAGAAAACAATCATTGTATTAATTTAAAGAATCTACCAATTTCTTATGATGTTTGACTTTTTTGGTCACAAATAAAAGCTAACATGGATCGTAGTTGAAAGAAGTGAACATATTGATATTTTCGGTCTGTTGTTCACTGAATCACACAAAAAGGATATAATCTTATTTAATCTTCTCCTACTTTCCATCTCTATCATGATTTAAAATGCTCATCATTTATAAAACTAAATAAAGGGTGTATTTATTAAACAAGAAAGTACATGTATTGAGATTCAATTGTTACATTTCTGAGTAACATTCTTTAATTTAGTTTTATTTTGAGGCATTCATCATAATTGTTTCTCATTATCAACTTGCATCATTATAACCCAAGAGAAACAGGTTAGAAGGTTTGTAAATAGCAACAGCTATTCTTAAGACTCTCTGTAATTGTATTCAGATCCCATGTTAAACAATAATAAATGGTTAAATATTTTATTAACATTTTGCCTCCTAAACAGTTGATTCCTAACATGACTAACAGTAAATCAAGTCAGATAATCTGTTCAGATTAACATGAAACTCATATCTGAATATTAAACCAGATCCATCTCATGCTTTAAAATGCAATCACAAATCTCAAAGTAAATCAATCGCTAACCTTTCAGAGATAATGAAAAGCCTCTCTAGAAAAGTTTTATGGAGAAATAAATCTGAGCAATTACCTAAAATAATTTGAAAAAACGTTGAGACATTTTAACTTTGTTTTCGTTTTTACATCCATTATCCGGAATAGATTTGAATATTTGTGATTTAGCTCCAAAAGACAAAGTATTTTGAATATGATTGAATTACGAAAAGCTAGTCAGTGCAAGATATCAATTTGCTGGAAAAAAACTTTGGAAAAAAGAAAGAGATGAAAGAAGCAAAGTCTCGATTCTTTTGTCATGGAAGTGCCCTTGAAAAGCGAACGAAATCTCAAACTTTATCAGGGACGCACATCCACACACATGGTACCGATGGAAGTATCGTCTTTAACTGGTGCCCATTATACGGTTGTATTCAAGTACAGATAAAGTATTTATCTGTACGAGTAACTTCGACTTCTACTTATTTCAATAACAATGCAACATATTACATTATAATACATTATCTATCATCTGAAGATCATGAACGAAACATAAAATACAAAAGAAAGCATTTAATCAAAGAGTGAAGAAGTTCTTTGCTCTTTGCTTTTGATTGTCTTCTAATTATCTTTGATTACACCACTCCATGTGGATTAAATGCAATTTAATCAAACTGTTATTATAATATGTTTAGCCGCACATTAAACAGCTACAGTTAACATCAAGAAACTAAAAAGATCAGAGAAAATAGATTTTTCTCTTCAATCTAAAGCGGATTGAGTTTAATAAGATTCAGTAATCAGCTACCTAAATGTAGGTAAAATGATGGTTTAAGGTAAAGATGAAGACATCTTAATTTTTTTATCTACATTTGGGTAACTGATTATTGAACCTTATTGAACGCAATATCATCTAGATTTGTGCCATTATTAACTGATAAGTCTTTCTGGTTACCAATCAAATCAAAATTTGGATATCTTATCAATAGATCGTGATGTAAATCTTTTAACTAACAGCAGAATCGAAGTTATATTATTAACTATCGAGGGCGAAGCCCGAGACTGTTTCACCAGATTGTTGAAACTTCTCGCCGCAGTTAAATAATAATAGGGAAGATCTATTGAATATATTCATAGCCAGGTTACAGAGAGATTAATCTTTTCCTCGCAATTTGTGCTCCCCTCATGTGCTGATATTATTATACATTATTATTACTGTGTGATGATATTATCGTTAAAATGCAACAAATTCAGTTACAATTGAGTCTTTCAAGTTAATTGTATCACTCAATGCCTATTAAACAGTGAAAAGTTGACTTATTTTCATACCAAAGCAAATATGAATACAGTTAATCCATTAAAGCGTCCATTAACAGTGCCAATTGACCCTTTGAAATTGTTGGTTTGCAAAATTTGTGATAAAGGTGATGTTCTGAGTCTGAAAACTTGTGGATGCCTTTTCTGTGACTCTTGTGACGGTGATTCTCGAGATATATGTATTTCATGCAATTCCGCGGTCGATCCAAATATAAAGTTGTCATTCACAAAGAATCCAAGATGCAAGTTTTATCAACTCAACCAGTGCTTTAGTAATGCTGAATACAAGTGTAAATGTATTCCTAACTGTTTAGTCTGTAGTTCGTGCCTTACTTACATTCACAGTAAAAGGTTAATCGAATCTTGTGTTCCTGAAATTTTGAAACCCAAAGTTACCACCAATCATGAACCATGTGAATTGTGTAAAGAATTTATTGCTGAATTTATAATGACTTCGGAACCGCATTCAAAAATTTGCTTCGCTTGTAAAGCGAAAATTACTATTCCCTTGGAAAAAATTGTTCATGAAGATCCAGATGGAATCAGTTTTATAAAGAGTATGAACTAAATGTGTCGGACAAGATTAAAATAAGTGAAACTTTTTTGGCATCAAGCAGTAATACTGAACAAGCTATAAAAAAATGCAAGAGCGCTTTATATGAAAAACTAAAAATATTAGACGAATATGATCGACAAATTGCTTTAATTAGAGAGCAACTTGACAATTTCAAAAAGGTAATTAAAACTGATCCAATGTAACCTTTTCAAGAGACTAAATTCATATATTGGTTTCGTCTTCTAACAGATCTCAAACGTTCTGAGTAGTACAATGAAAATTATTCTTGAACTACTCAAAGATAAACAACTGAACTTACATGGAAAAGATGGAATAGAACAAATACGTGATCTGTTGAACTATAGTCGTAAAAAAAATAACTGGTTTCATCTGCCGTCTGTTCTTGATCAAATCGGGACGTTTATTGAACACAATTCCAGTCTCCATTCACCTTCATCATCCATTCCAGGTATTTCAGAGAATTCGGGTGTAAGTGTTCAAGAAATTAGTGACAGTGGAGTCGAGCCGTTTTTTATTTTAGTCGAGAAACAATCTGCAGTGAATAAGCGCAATAAAATGCTGAAAAATATTGAGAAACATGTAGATAAGTGGGTACGCAAAGAAAGTTTTGCTGTGAACGACATTGTCATTATATTGGATGTTGATGCAACTGACAGTCACAAATACAAGAGGGCTAAAATTTTGAAACTAGGAGATGACAGTTCTGAGGTCTCTCTTCTCGACTTTGGCTTTCAAACTACAGTCCCAAATAGCTCAATTGGTGAAATTAATGGAATCAATATTAATGGGAAATCAACTTGTTTCATTGCTAAACTCACTGGAAGTGTTAATTTAAATTGTGACTTTGAGCAAATAGATGGACTACCTAAGGCTCAGAACATATATTAGAGGTGTTCCGATATATCAGTATACCTGATAAAAACGATATTTAAGTGTCGATAGATTCTGATATTTCGTTGGCAAAATCGATAAATATTCGAAAAAAATCGCTGCGATTCTCGGCTGTATTTCCTTGACTCAGCATGTGCTCAATTACGTCGAAAGAATCATAGTAGATTGTGAGTTTAAACAATTCGATGGATTACCTAAGGCTATGTGTATAATTTTTCAGTCTAAGTGGATTGGACTTGATTCCGTTCGCATTTATAGATATTTAAACAGTTCATAGCTGCAACTAAATTCAGACTCGAAGTTATATGATTTACTATCATGGGCTAAACCCGAGATTGTTTTACCAAATTTATTTGTTTCACCAGATTGCTGAGACTTCTAGCGGCAGTTAGTTAAATAATAATTATCTAATAGTCTCGTCACAGATGAGATTAATCTTTTACACACAGTTTATGCTTCACTCCATCATGTGATAATACTATCGTTTTAATACAACCAGTCAAGTATCAATTGTGTCTTTCCCTTCAATTGTATCACTCAATTCATATTAAAACATATTTAGCAGTGATTATCACATTTTATAATAATTAACAAAAGTTGGTTTATTTTCAAGCCAAAGGAAATATGAATACAGTTAATCCATTAAAGCGTCCATCACCAGAACCAATTGACCCTTTGAAATTGTTGGTGTGCAAAATTTGTGATAAAGGTGATGTTTTGAGTCTGAAAACTTGTGGATGCCTTTTATGTGATTCTTGTGACGGTGACTCTCGAAATATATGTATCTCTTGCCGATCTAACGTTGATCCAAAGATAAAATTGTCATTCACAAAGAATCCAAGATGCAAGTCTTATCAACCCGACCAGTGCAATAGGCACGCTGAATACAAATGTAATTGTATTCCAAACTGTTTTGTTTGTAGTTCATGCCTTACCTACATTCACAGGAAAAGAGTCCGCGGATCATGTGTTCCTGAAGTTTTGAGTCCTAAAGTTACAACTAACCATGAAACATGTGAATTGTGTAAAGATTTTACTGCTGATTTCAAATTGCCTTATGCACCTTATACAAAAATTTGCTTTGCTTGTAAAACAAATTTTACTATTGACTTGGAAGAAATTATTAATGAAGCGCCGGATTGGAATCATTTTTATAGAGAGTATGAACAATCTTCTGAAAATGTGTCAAATAAAATTAAAAAAATTGAAGATGAACTAGAATCAAGCAGTTTAGCTCGTGAAGAAGAGGTAAAAAAATGTAAAGATGCAATATCTGAAATACAGAAACGTTTGGACGAACATACTGAACAATATGATCAGGACATTGCCAAACTTAAACAGCAGCTTGACAATTTCAAAAAGGTATGTACTAATAGTCAATGTAACCTTTTCAAGAGACTAACTGACTTTTAATTCATTTCTTGACTTCATCTTATAACAGATTTCAAATATTTTGAAGCCTGATGGTACAATTAAAACTATCCTTGATCTACTGAAAGACGAACAACTGAACTTACATGGAGAACAAGCAAAAGAGCAAACGATTAATTTGTTGAACTCTTTTCCAGGAAAAGAATGCTTTGATTCTATCTCTAATCCTAAAACGAAACTTGTTCAGATATTTATTGCACGAGAAGATTCCATGAGGTACTCTGTTACATCCATTCTTTTGCCTGGTTTTCGAAAAGATTTGAATGCAATTGTTTTTGACAGAGCCAGACCGATTTATTTATCAGTCGTGAAACAATCAAAAGTAAATGACCGTTTGAAATTAAGTAAAGAAATCGAGAAGCGTCAAGATAAATGGGTACGCAAAGACCATTTTGATGTGGATGACATCGTGATTGTATCTTTTATGTCTACGACTAGTGCTAAAAAATTCAGCAGAGCTAAAATCTTAAGCAAAGGAAATGACTATTCCACAGCCTTGCTCCTTGATTTAGGCGTTACAGCTAAAGTCCCAAATAGCTCAGTTGGTGAAATTAACGGAATCAAAATTAATGACAAACCAACTTGTTTTGTTGCTCAACTCAGCGAACTCGAAGAAAGAATTTTGTTACATAATGGGAGACATCAGTTCGATGGAGTACCTAAGGCTATGCAAATAATCTATTAGAACTGCGAGTTGCACTTGCGTTCCGTTTGCATTTAGAACGAACGCATTTTATCTATTGAAGCACAATAAAAAACGATAAAAAATAGCACGACTGCAAACTATATCGTTCAAAGTTTCGACAACAGAAACTAATTAGCTGAAAAAATTCTAAGCAGAAATTTACAAAGGTGATTAGTTTGAATATCATAATGACTTTAGATAAAAGCTATTAAAACATTATCAGAATCCAATCAAAATGTTAGGGTCCAATAATTCGTCCAATAATGAACTTACGTTACCTTGTAACTATAATTTGAATTTAAGACCAATGCACCGCAAGTTATGTATTGAAAAAAAAACAATCTGTCATCTAAATATTAATAAACAAATTGATAATAAAATGACAAAATAAAGTTATTAGTTTTTCTTGTATAAGGTATGACCGATAAAGTTTGTCACTAATTTTTTAGAATTGAATTGCGTCAGTTAGACTAGACTTACAGGCACCATTTAACCGTTGAAATAAAGGTACACTTCTCAAGCACATTTTGTGCAAAAATGAATTAATTTTGACCATAAATTGCCAAGTTATGACCTTAAATGGACAAAGGCGTCAAAATCTGATTTTAACTTTACCCAAAAACCATAAATTTTTCAACTTCATACTAGGGCTTCGAAGAATGGAAAAATGGTGCAATTTGGCCTCAAAGTTATTGAAAAAGATGTAGTTCTCTTAATATAACCCAACATAGATCAATTGAAAGGTCCAGGCCATCGCCAAAACTAAATTTCATGGACATTCGGTAAAAAAAACGGGTTGTCAAGCTTTTTTAAAAAGACTTTTTAAAAAATGACCTCGATTTCGAATATTTCGAGCAATATTTTGAAATAAAAATGCCATAAGGTCAACTTACTGTTGTCTATGAGATGCTGATGTTTTTATTTCAAAATATTGCTCGAAATATCGAAATCGAGATC